AAGTTCCCTGTGGCAGGCCGCCTCTAGTGGGGCTTTGTCGGGTTGTTTTTTGTAGTGGTGGCGTTTTAAAGCACATTCGTTTTGGTTGAGCCTTGGTTGGGGGTGTGGTGGTGAGTATTTTGTGGGCCGAATAAATGCTTAGTTTTTTGTGGTGGCTAATGAATTCTTCAGTTCTACAGAAAATGTATAATATCTTAGATTTCAATATTTGTCGGCGCTATGGGGGGGCCGGGGGGTCACAGAAGAAAGGCACTGCTTACAATACGGTCGGCTCTGACTGCTCATAACTCTCTGACAATCCCAGAATAATGAGAGTAGGTCATTACCTGTACACATAGTTGGGAAAAAAGTTGTGGGAGAGGAAAAGAGGGGGGAAGAGGAAAAGGGGGCAGGATTTGCAAGAAAAATCATCCAGTCGAGGGGGTCCTAATTCCAATTGAAAAATCTGCTACTTGGTTTGATTTGGCAAAAATCACCTCCACCCTCTAAACAGAGGTTGCTGTTCACATGGATGGAAGTGACCCGGAAATCGACGCAGGAAAGAGAAGTGTGGAGAGGTTGGAATTCGGCGAAACTCGACCTAAAAAAATCCTTCTTGGAGGGTTGGTCTTACCAGCGCCGTGCGTTCGCGCGCGGGGGGAGGCAATGGCGGCTGTGTTGCATTCATAGTTGACATGCTTGCTTTGCCTGTGCCTTTCTAATTTCTACCTACGTTTACCTATACCTTGTTGTTGACACATGCGGGCAACACCACCATTCAGGTGTTTTAGAGTATATACGAGGATTTTCAGTACGAGCTCTTCGTGTTCTGTTTGTAGTACACCTGCACACTGTCAGTTTCTACTGTTGGCTTTGAATAACGGGGGGAAAAAGGTGTCATGCGATACACATACTGGGACAGACGAAAGTCAATTGAACCAACAGCATAGTCAGGATATTATACAAACCATTAAGTATATATGTGTGATGTTATAGGGCTAAAAAGAGCAAGCGGCCCCCTCTTCCTTGCAGGTGTTGATAAGGAGGTTGTAACGAGACTCTGAGCTAGAGTTTGGGACTCAACTAACTGGTGTCAGTCGAACTCTTGGGGGTTCGGGCCTGCAGGCGGGTGCAGCTGAGATTCTAAGAAATCTAACTAGCGGCACTAGAGACAGAGCTGGACTAAAACAGCAGAAGGCTGCACTACCGCTCTAGGGGGTACTGCCACTCTCTTCTCTAGCAAGGGACACAAAAAACAAAAGAGCGCACACACCCGGAATAAAAGGAAAGGAGGGGAGCAAAAAACACACACACACCTCTCCACAACGTTCATTGGATAAACTGGTTGAATCTAGTTATAAAACAAAGTACCAATGTATTCTTGTAACAGGACGTTCCAGTTCGTGGCTAAAAATGGGGGGAAATTTTTAGCCCTTACGTATAATTATACTGATATATACGTTCCCCCTTAAATTCATTAGCATTTGCTAAATACCCACATTAGCCTACGATTTTATAAATATTAGGGAGAGAATGCTCACCGTTACGAAATCTATAGCAAGACTTTGGGCATCACAATCAACAATGGGAAGAGATCCACAATGGCATGTCATGAACAGCATATATACTACCTCTTAAAAACTAACATTTTAAATTTTGCAGAGTTCATTGGGATGACGTAGTGATACAGTGTCAGAGTCCTCCTCTGAGGGCGAGCACTAAATGGAGTACTGAACCACCTTGTATCTTTGTAGTCTGCAGCTGTTTTCTCATCATTCCTGTGACGCGTCGTCACACACCCACAGTCAGTTTAATTTGAGGAACAATACACGGTCACATAGTAAAAGTGATCAGAAAAGTGCACGCTCAAAAACTAACTCACATTTGCTTCCCGCTGAAAATCAACCTGAGAAACAGTGAAAATAGAAATGGTGTGTGTGGTGTGTGGAGGGTTTCAGCTGACCTCTGCTGTGGTGGAGGTATGCCTTCCTTCTCCTCCACTCTCTCCTTTATTCTCTCTACCTGTATATACATACAAAGGCAACGGGCTCCATACACCATCGTCACAAACAACAGAAGAGGACCAAACTCACCTTGTCCGTAGGCTCAATATCGATATCAATCTGCAGGTGTTGGATAAAAGTTTGGGTGGTGAGCGTTAATTAGAGTTAATTAGAGACTTACTTCTTTTCCTGTCAGGGTCTGTGAGAGGGAGAGACGTAATCAAAGCAAATGATCCTAGAAGTATACAGAACTGTGTCTAGCTCGTTGATATAAGAAGCTGTACCTTGACTTTGATCAACATCTTCAGCCAAATTTCTTTGCCTTTTTCTGAGGCCCACACCGCGAAAGCAGCGTTTTACCGGGAAGAACTGCAGCTGTGCTGAGAACGAGCCGAAAGAACGAGTCCGCAAGGCCAAAGGTTTATCGAGCCACGCCTTCAACACCAACCCCACCCAAAGCAAATACCGGAAGCGAAGGTTTGTTTTTTCCAGCGAAAAGAGATGGCAGCGGGCGGCGTGCACTGGGAGCTACAAGGTGGTGCTGGTAGGGGACGTAGAAGTCGGGAAAACGACCCTGTTCAATCGATTCAAGCTGGGACGGTTCGTGGATAGCGGTGACGAGAAGCAGACGCGACAACAAGCGGAGCACAGCAAGACGTGGGAGTACGAGGGAGAAACCTATTCTGTAAGTCTCTACTACGCTAATCTGAGTCTGCAACACTTTATTGCACGGCCGTATAGCAAGTGTAACTGCTACTGAACCCTCTCAATGAAACCCAGATGACACTGTTTGACACGGCGGGATGGAGCGGTTCGAAGGTACACTGCCGCCCACCTACTTCCGCAACGCCTTCTCCGTCATTTTCATGTACGCCATCAACAGCACAGAGAGTATAAGCAGCATCCCGTCGTGGGCCGACAGCGTCAGCATCCAGCACATTGGCGAGCAGGGAAAGAACATTATCAAGGCCCTGGTGGGAACCAAGTGCGACCTGGAAGACGAGAGAGAGGTGAACAAGATGCGAGCCAAGGAGACAGCGCAGAAGTCTGAGATAAATGAGGATATGGTGTTCGAGATCTCGGCAAAGACGGGGGATGGGGTAGAGGAGATGTTTGCCGCCATCGCAAAGGCGTTCAAGACGAGAGAAGGAAGAAGACAGAGACATCTGGCGGTGCGTTCCCACAGGAACAGAAAAGTTCAAATAGAAAATGCTGCTCCTAAGAGTGAAACCCCCCACCTATTATAGTGTTATCAATTATGGTAAGCTAGCTTTTAGCGGTGTTGGGTGTGCGCATGCGCACACTAGCGCGCTGGCGTTCGTTTGCAGAGACGCGGACGCGCGGGTGGACAACAATGGTGCACGCACCAACGCTTCGACGGTTACTTCCATTTGGTTTGTTGACCAACAACACAACCTTTATTAGCAATCAATCACGCGCACTGCTCTGCTCGGGGTGCTCGCAATACAGAGTGGCTGGTGATGCTCCGGGAAACGCCGACGACGTCAGATCGAGGAACGCCGTTGCGCTGGACTGCGAAATGCTCAGCTGCAGACCAACAAAAAGATGGTTCCTGCACGCCCCTCCAAGAAAGAAGAAGCGTACACCAGTCGAAGTGTCGGTGGCCGGTCGCTGTGCGCTGGTAGATTACGATTACCGCGTCGTCTATGATTCATGCATAAGACCCGGTCCGAGGACGACAGTTATCACCAACTGGAAAGGGATACGACCTCGCGATATACTGGGCGCCCCGTCGCTGGACGAGGCCCGCGAAGAGATACTGGGACTGCTGGCAAAACAAGCTGGTTATCGCACACGACATCAAGAACGATCTGGCCGCGCTACAGATCCTCTTGGGCGTGGACCTTCACCCGGGGAACATTCGCGACACTTCCAATTGCGGAACACTCCTCGGGTTAGCGGAGGTTCCCGTCAATTTCCCTCGCGCGTCTCTCCACCACCTGGCCCTGAGAGTTTTGGGACGCCGCGTTCAGACCAGGAGACCTCACTGTCCCGTGGAAGACGCAGCGGTGACCATGGAGTTGTACAAAGCAGTTGAAAATGAGTGGGAGAGACAAAACAGCCTGCACTAAAAACATTTCGAATCGACCGCGAGAACTGCAGTGCGAATGCGCATGCTCAGTAAGTACGCTGCTCCGCGCGCGTCCATCTATAAAAGCGCTGGTGCACCGAAAAAGAAGCTACAGTATACATGAAACCCAAGGCACTAGCACCCACTAACGATGCTGCTTTTTCCACTCTGGCTCTTTGCTCTGCACTTTCTGAGCTCGCCTCCTCTGATCGGCTGCGAATTGCATGGTCTGTCGCCGCAGGAGAAACAGGAGCTCCTAAACTCCCACAACTATCTCCGAAGTATCGTATACCCTCCAGCCACCAACATGCAGAGAATGGTTTGTTAATATTTTTAGCTATTACTTACTCTGAGCTAAAAATGCTTGACATTTATTTTTGAAAATGAGGTACATATCGAGGTATAATAAAAGCTAAAATAATCTACTCAGGAGTGGAATGAGCAGCTAGCAGAGATAGCCCAAAGCTACGCCGAGGAGTGTGTGTTTGGGCACAACCGTAACCGCAGCAAAAGCTCTCTCTTGTTCCCCTACGTGGGAGAAAACATAGCCGTGACTAATAACCCGGAAACCCTTCTCGGCGACCTCGTCCGTGGGTGGTACAATGAGAGCCAACACTACGACATTGTCACTAATGATTGCACGGGAAAAGAGTGTGGGCACTACACACAGGTAAGAGCAATCTTGAATGTTCCTCTTTTTAGAAGTCTTGTGTGCGTATAATATAGAGCTAGCTATGTGCGAAAGATTTTGAGGGGAAAAGTTTGGTAGCTAATGAACAAGAGTTTGACGGAGAAATGTAGATTTTTCTCACTGTGTATAAGGCAATGTTAGTATGATAGGTAGCCCTTATACACTTCAAGATTTACAACCAATGTGTTAAAGTGATCAGCAGTAGCTAATTATACCATTCCCCACATGAGTGGTAGTTGGAATGTGTTATTACATAAGGGCTAAACTGTTACTGAAAATATTGCATTCTTGCTCTGGGCCCCAATGTTTAGTTCTATCTTTAGTAACAGTTAACCCTTATCTACTGCCACATTCCCTTTCTCATGTGATACACTTCCTGTCATAAGGTGGTGTGGGCTTCCTCAGTCTGGGTCGGCTGTGGAGTACAAAGATGTGGGACGACGGTTGGTTTTCCTCATTCCTCCAGCACCATACTCATCTGTAACTATGGACCAGGGTATGCAACTTCCTTCTTACTACCTTATTTAGAAGACCATCCACAGTTTTCTTATCCATTTAAGGGCAGGCAGTGGGCTATTCACATATTATGAAAAGGGGGTGTTGTAAGTACATAGCCAATAGCCACTTCACACATGCAATAAGATTCCACTTACACTGAATTTCTGTAGCTGAGGACCTCTCAATTCACAGCCCTTTAGCTGCCATGAGAGAACAATTATCTCTCCATGTACGTAAGTGGGATAATGCTTATGGTCCACCACATACACATAGCCATTATACCTCCCTGTATGTAGCTATACATCACGGCAATTATGCCTATTTGAGTGGTGTCTATAGTGAAATTGATCAATATGGAATTATCCTTCCATTTATGAAAGGGGGAATATGGTGGGAGAGAGTCCATACTTGGCTGGGGCTGTACCTTGCTCCTGGTGTCCTGACGATAAGCCATTCTGCCAAAATAACTTGTGTGGTGAGCCTGCATTGGAGTCAGCTAGCTACACACTCTCTTGTTTGATAAAAGCTATTTTGGCAAAGCTGTATATATATTATATCTCTTCTTGCACTTCTTTCCTTACCTGCAGTTGCCACAACATTTGAAGATACAAAACAATCATGATAGACATACTCAATCATAGCACTATTTTCAGCCACTTAACATTAAGAGTAATAGGCGGGGTCGCGCGGCGGAAAGCTTGTGCGCACGCGCAAATTAACACGCCACGCTACCGCTCGTTGTTAAGTTTGGGGACGCTGCATGCATCAGTCACAAGGATATATAACTCATGCAAATGTGTCTGCCGCATAATTATACCATCCATTAGACACACTCTCCAGACACAAGAAAATTGCAGGATGAGGGTCCCACGTAGGAAACTGATAACACGGAGCTCTGTGTAGTACAACAGGATGTCCTACGCCTACACGCCGGAAATGCTACAATTGCTGGTTCGCTGGAATTGCAGGTTTCACCGCCACGCCAGCAAGCACAGACATACCAATCCGGAATAATCACGGCCGTTCTACAAAAGGATTGTAGAGCTACACAACTTCCGAGCCATCACAGGATACGTATGGTATTGCACAACTTGCAAACGAACACTGACGCCAGTGCGAGGCTATATAAGAGCCCTTGCACTGTTTATAGAACGATAAATCGATAGACGACAGCAAACGTTCAAAGAAATGGCCGTTGATACTTTCAGTGTTGTCACGCGCGTCGGATCCATCGTAAGTAACTAGCTCCATTCCCTATACGTATGTTTAGTGTCTGTCGGCATTTTCCAAACCACAGGTTGTGGCACTCTTTATTATTGGCACGTCAATTGCTACGTTGAGAGTCATCAGCGACAACGATAAGCTGGTGCACTACAGGGATCTTCAGGACAACGGTATGTGTGCCAATCATCAGTTGCGCTCCCCGTGCGTTTTTTCGGCATTAGGATCCACCACGGATCAGCGCTGTGCTTGTAGTTGCTGTTTATGAGTGCGCAACGCTTATACGTACGTAGCTATATATAGCTAGCTGTGGTTTGAACAACGGCCATGTATTAAACACAGGAGAACTTGATGAACTGAGCCAAAATGAGAGAGCACTTCGAGGCCTCATCATCTTCACCCAAGCCGCCGCCGTCTGGGGCATCATACTCTGCACCTTTACCACCATCGCGGGCGTTCTTTCCGTCATCATAGTTGTCATCAACAGGCAATCCATCGGGAAGATTATCCTCGGAGTTATTGTAAGTTGTTTCTACAAAGTTTTCAGTAGCTTGGAAATGTTCATCTGCTCCGTCGTTGACAGGAAATCGTCTTCATTGTCATCGGGACGTTGTTGTACCTCAGTCTCGGCATCGCTTGCGCCGTGCACGCAGCCGATTGGGGAGAGCCGCCGGAAACCTGCACCGAACGCTTCCGGGACCTCTCCGACACAAGTAATAACAGTGACGACTTCGACGACATCTGCAACAGCGTGGCGCTGAACACCACCAACTCCCTGCAAGCCGTAAGTTTCCAGCTTCGTATAATTATATGTACGTATGTATATACGTGCGTGGTAGACTCAGCCTATAGTTCGCTGGCGTTTTCCTTTCGTGATATGTAATCCTAATTTGATTGTGGTCATATTATCCCATGCTTGTTTAGGTTTTTTCCTTCGTTGAAATTGGAGTGTTTGGAGCAGTAATCCTGGCAACAATCTTCAGCCTCAGGTCAAAACCCACTACTACCAACACCATAAGTGCCCAAGAAAAATCGTAACAGAGGATTTCATCACGCGGACAACACTTCATTTATAAAGAAAGGCTATATTATTATAATCATTATCATTGTGACAGTTCATATTCATGTACGTACTGTATAATCATTGGAACCCACATATGGACCAGCGGATGGGCCATGACCTTTATACTATGCTTGGTACTATATAACTGAGGTCATGTGCAGACACTTCCTGATTGTTGAACCAACAGGATGAGCATGGGGGCACAGTTGTTAGCTCTGTAGTAATCTGTACACCTCATGTGACCTCGACCAGACAGACTGCATGCACACACATGCCAAGATTAGAAAGCTCTATTCATAATATAGTACAATAATACCGTCTACACTATGATGTCATGTGGAAGTCTACTACCAACATTCAGTCTGTAAAATCTTCACTTTTTGTGCGACTAGAGTGAATGATAAATCAAGATAGCTATCTCGCTATACACAGAGACTAGCTATGTATACTGGACTCCACACTCAACTTCCAAACTTATTCTCTTGGTCGACCCGAATAATAGTGGGTAATAAGCGGAGCGAGCGCTCTTAGCTACGTCTGCCGGCACGTGACCAAGTCGCGAAAAGGCTGCGCTCCAGCTTACATCTGGGCGCTTTTACGCATGCGCACCAAGACGACGGCGGCTAATGAAAGTTCGGGGGGGCGACGCGAGGTTGCGTAATAAAAGAGCGCCGAATTTTATTTCACTGAAGAGAACTTGCAACCCACCAGCCTAAAGAGGAAACAATACTCAATGGCAGTAAACATCGTCGCCGTTTTGCCTCGCGCAGGAGCAATTGTAAGTTGACAGCCTTCTTGGTTTACTTCGCGCGCGCATGCGATTGCGCATTTTGCAGGGACTTGCAGTTGTCCTCCTCATGGTGTCTGCCGCGACCATCGGACTCATTAACAGCATTGACAGCATTCGGTTTATTCGGGATTACGATGGTAGCTAGCTACGTACCCCATCCGATCACCAACGGTATACCAAGTTGCACAATTTGCCGGTCCAACGACAGGTGCACTTGCAGCCCAGAGGGCGCTCATTCTCGCCACGCAAGATTCTGCGGGCTGGCTCCTTGCAAAGAGTATCATCATCGTTATCGCGGAGGTCGCCACCATCGTCCTTATTATTGGAATTATCAATTGGCGAGTCCTATTCGAGTAGTGAAAGTTTTTTTAGCCTGCTGTCAATGTCATCAGCTGCCGTACAAACAATCGGTAGATAAAAGTTGTTGTAAAATATTATACTATACAGCCACAGTTCCAACAACAGCTTGACCGACATGACAAAAAGTGCGCGCATGCGCAAATATTAATATTACGTAAGGATTTAATTATGCGGACGTCTAATAGTCTATATACGGAGCATGCGCGCGTGGAGGAGGCGCGCGCTACGCACGCCAACACGCCTGCGCGCAAGATAAAAGAGCACCGAACTACGTTCTTTTTTCAAAAAAGAACTTGCAGCAGGCAAAATAGAAAAAATATATAGTCAATGGCAGTAAACATCGTCGCTCTTTTGCCCCGTACGGGAGCAATTGTAAGTTAACTAGCTTTTTGTTCGTGCGCGGGATATTGCGGCATCTTTTTGTAGGTACTAGCAGTTGTTCTCCTTATTGTGTCTGCCGCAACCATTGGAGTCATTAACAACAATGAAGGACTTCGGGATGTTCGGGATTATGATGGTACGTACGTAGCTACGCCATTCGCTGATCTCCGTCCGTTTTATGTTTTTGCAGGTCCAACGACAGGCTCTAGTAGTTTTGTGGAGCTCCAGACGCTCATTCTCTCCACGCAAGGTTCTGCAGCCTGGCTTATTGTAATGAGTATCGGCATCGTGATCGCGGAAGCCATCGCCATCGTCCTAATTATCATAGATCTCCAGGGGAATGGGAAACTTATCGTTGGAATCCTGGTATAGCTACGGACGGTATTACGAAGCGTATGTAATTCATATTTCTTTTCGCAATGCAGGAGATAATCTTCAGCGTTCTGGTGATTCTGTCCTACTTCGCAACTGGAATTGCCTCCGCCGCGTATGCTGCAGCGTGGGGCGCTCCACCGGACCTATGCGAACTTGCGGAAACCGTCCTGGACGATCCGTGCGATAGGAAGCCACTCACTGCAACCACCGCACTGCAAGCTGTAAGTCGATCCAAGGAAGTCGCGGAGTAATCCCCCGCGGCTAGTAATGTTGGTGGAGGGTGCACGAATAATAGGCGTCCCAGACCCGCCGAAAATTAGTTTCTCCCGAAAAGGATTTTCTGGTCTGAAACCGATAGTGCCATCTTCAGGAAAGGACTATAGAAGAACCACGTCTGGCGCGCTATGCCGCATTTTTACAACTTTCATTCTGTTTCTGGAATTTCTAGGTGTTTTGCTTCATCCAAATCGGAGTGTTTGGAGTGATTGTTGTGTTGACAATACTTGGAATCGTGAGGAGCAGATCTGAGTCAAACGCCTGAGGAAAACTCCGAAGAGACCAGAAGACTTGGCTATGATTTTGTTTAGCTACTTATAGGTTTTAGGGTTTGATTATTAGGCTGTATGAAAGCGTGTATAGAAACAGTTTTTTTGGTTATGCTAGACCCGACATTCATGGTCAATGCAAGCACAAAATATCACACTGATGCGCAAGTTGCGTGTAATCTCAGTGAAACTCCCACCCCATGCTCTAGTGCATTAAGGCCTGGGTACACACCTGAAGACCACGATGCAGGAATTTTGTCATAAAACTCAAGGACAAACCTCTCTGAATGTTAAACTTTGCATGCAACAACTTCATATCATTCTTAATCACAGGATCCAATTGGCCACGCCCACTTGTATTTAATATGAATTTTATTACGTTTTTAACATGTGCCGTTAGGCGGTGGGTTTTAGAGTCGAGATTAAGGAATGAATTCGACATGCAAAAAAAGGAAGTAGGCTAATCAATTGTATTCTTCATGCGAGAGAAAATTCACCGCTTACTTACCGCGCGACGGACGGGAGAACATTGGGATAGGCAAAATTAGGCCGCTTTTGCGGACAAACGGTGGGATTACTTGCGTCAGATATCTTCTTTAGTCTCTCGCATGAGTATACAACCTTGTTGATAGTGCATCAACACTTTTCTGGCCTTTTACTGTCGAAGGACCAAGCGCAACACTGCCGCCCAGTGTCAAAACAGCACGTCCCCGCCAAGAAAAGTACCTGGGTTGGTCTCCGTTCCGGGGTGAATTGTCCTCAAACCGACCCGCAGATTACGTAAATTTTAGTAAATCTGATTGGAGAATTTGTGCGTGACCGCGGTAAACTCGCGAAATCCGATTCCGCGCATGTCAAGTATACGAATTATACGTGGGCGTGGTCACGTAGCGCGCACATCCGGCGTTCCGCGCGTTGGACAGGCCTTAATTCAGCTGAGGCAGCCTGACACAAACACAAACATAGTATATATATGTAGTTATAACTTTGTTTGGTGGTCCTGAGGGTAGCTAATAGCTACATCCACCAGTTTTGACTCTCATGCAGTACTGCGGTGCATGAACTGATGAACATACTACCTGATCATTACGTAGGGGCTTTTTGTGGATGTAACCACACCGATACCAGATCTAAGAAAATGTTGTAGTCTTACTTACACCAACACATGTTGTGTCATGGGAGCATCCAGCGGCATACTCTCTGGTTGTATATACACTCCAAGTTGACACATCCAGCTGCTCCCAAACACTATTATCTTGCAGTATATACCTATTTCCCACCTTAGCTGCAATACACAGGCTGTACAGAGTAGTTCTTTGGTGAACCCTTGTGTGTGCACCCTTAGGATTTTCAACAAAATTCATTTTCAAGGCTACATATAGCCAAGATCTTGCTTGCAGTAGACGACTGCTTGTATATACACCACAGGCAATTTTTCCTCCATAGGGAGGAGGTTGTCCTCTCTTTGGGGATTAAAAATGTACCGTGATGAGCAAAAGAAAAGTGAACATTTGGGACCACAAAGTGTGTCCTTTATCAGGTTCTACTGGTCCCTGGACCCTGGCAATAATTATACAAACTTGCTTTCCCAGACTTGCTGTCACCATCTCGAAAACCAACCTACAATGTTATCTGTCTGTAAGAAGAAGCTTTCCTGTCAACAAATGCTCAATCAAAAGGCGGTGTACATAAACAAACTGCAAATATGCCAGTTTCAGTATTAGAGATAGGGGTGTAAAAGGTGCATGTTTCAGTATCTCTTTCTTCTCATAATCTCAAGTCTCCAAACAATTGGATGAGACTCTTCAGTCTATGGGGAAAAGACCACAATAAGAAATTGAAAGAAGTAAACAAAATGCTGCATGCTAACCGCACTCTGAAATTGCCATGAAAAAAAGAGTAACAAACAATGCTAATACTTTCGTATGCTGACCACACTATGAAAGTAGCACCAAAAACTAGGAAAAAGGGTTGACAAACACTCCACTAACACCTCTGTATGCTAACCACAGTGAAACGTCATTACGCAAAAAAACTGTAAGGTGCCTCGATGCGTGCTTCCACTCACCGCAGTGTCGTCCTCTTTGTAAATCTTGATTGTCTTGTCGGCCTCGGCAGTGAGGAGTCTGCAACCACTCACATCAAACAGACACTTGAAGATGCCGGCCTCGCTGTCCAGTGACCCTGGCTGCACCGTGGTCTGGTGTTTCTGAAAGTTGTAGCCAGTTTTCCAGTCCCAGAAGTGAAGGCTCCCATTGTCCCCTGCAGTGCAGTGCACAAGGCAAGAACACTAGCAAGTGTGTGTACACAGTAGAAGAGCAATAAGCTGCAAGGTTATTTTCTGTCTAAAACAACTTCAACCCCATCTAAGTACGGGTAAAGTATAAACACTCAACTCATTATCAAAGAGTCTATATCCACCTGACACTGTACAAAACACACACAGATAAGTAAATATACACACAGAATTATAAATAAACACATTAGGTCTCAAAAGTGAAGGTATATACATACATATACATACAGGAAGATTTACTGTATACACCAAAAAAAGCAACACATAAAACACTCCCAAATGTAACTGGAGCGATCGTGGTAAAAAAACATGAACATCTTTTGAGCACTCAATAATAACACTGGTAGATTATGTATGTAGCCAGTGGGGTTACATTAATATCTCTGAGGTCTTCATAACTGGCGTACGTAATCCAACAGTGTCTCTATAAATATACATACAGCACTCGTGTGTGTAGTTGACTTGTTTCTTGTGCTTTTGTGTTTCTATCTCGTAGTTCACACATACGTACATACCTCCAGAGACAAGGACTCCATCAGAGTTTATTGCCAGTGTGTTGACTATTGACTGGTGGCCAGTGAAGTTCTGCAAGAAATTCCCGTCCGGTAGCTTCCATATCTTTATGTTGTCTGGAGACCCGCTGGCAAAGCAAAACCTGAGAAATGGAGTCTAAGATGCAACTGCAGACAGTTTTTTTTTATACTGATGCGATGAAAAGATTATCTTAAGGTGGTAAATGGGAAGGCAGGTATTGACTTTGCTTTTTTGTTCTTTACTTTTGACAAGCGGCTATCTCAAAAACCACATCATCAAGAGGTAATGACCACAAAGATTGGAATCCATGACAGGTCGTGCAAGACAGCTATACCATAGCTTGGGCTTCACACAACTCTTTATCAGTCGGTTAAAGGGAATGTGGCAGTATATAAGGGCTAAATTACCAAATATAGAACAAAACAATACGGGCACAGTGAAAGAATACAATTGAGTTCCGTTTTTAGTATATAGCATTTCTAAATTTAGCCCTTATATACTGCCACATTCCCTTTAATAGTGCAACTGTGGTGTGTTGTAGTATCAGCTGACTCTGTAGGGTGCATGAAGAGGGCTCGGATGCTCTTCTTGTGGTTGGTGAGGACGGCCTTCGTCTTGCCAGCTGCCAGGTCCCACAGACGAACGGTGCAGTCATGACTCCCTGTCACCACCTGCGTTCCATTTCACACAGTCTCACTTCACGACGTGGAATGACAATCGGGGTGTTTTTAAAGCTCTCTGCGTTCCATTTCACACAGTACATTCACGGACGTGTGCTAAAACCGACCCTGCAATACCTCTAACTTCCCCTTCTTACATTACAGTCCAACTTCATACATAGATACTGGAATAAACTAACTATCAGGGTGTTTTTAAAGGGGACAGAAAACAACTCTCGGTAGAGCTAAACTTCAACAAGTCATGCAGGTTGTGTTTGTAGAAAGTTCCCTTCATTCAAAAGCATCTCTGATACTAACATACATACTAGTATAAGGCGGTATCATATATATACAAGTGCCATTTGCTTTGTAGAGAGGTTTACTTTTTCAGAGGTTTCACTGTACATTTACAGCATATACCTGAGGATTGGGTGCTTGTGTCAGGATATCGCCCACTGTGTTGGTGTGTCCACCGAGGGTGTGGATGCAGGCTTTTGTCCGCATGTCCCACACGCGAGCCGTGGCATCCCTGCCTCCAGTCAGGAGGACGTCGATGGTTGGGTGGAGGGACATGCAGTAGACACCACTCAGGTGACCGTGGTAGTGACGGACCACCTGCAAACCAACACACGGCTGATACTACCACACACACCAGTTGTACTATCAAAGGGGCTGACAGTGGAAGCCCTCCAATCCAGGCACCAATGAGAAGTGTAGGGGTTAAATTGAACTGTTCTTGGGGGGAAAGAAAAGGGGTCCTTAGTAGTTAAGGTGTCTTGGGGGGAAAAAAAGGTATTTTTAGTTTATGGAGGTGTCCTCATTACAGGAGTAAGGGTTCCACAATAACAGTTAGGGCTCGTTCAATAATGTGGTACATGCAATGATAAAGTCAAGCTAGGTAAATAATGTGGTACATGCAATGATAAAGTCAAGCTAGGTAAATAATGTGGTACATGCAATGATAAAGTCAAGCCAGGTAAATAATGTGGTACATGCAATGATAAAGTCAAGCTAGGTAAATAATGTGGTACATGCAATGATAAAGTCAAGCTAGGTAAATAATGCACTGCAGTTCGTTGTGTTCATTCTAGTGCCTGACCTTGTTGTACTCGAGGTCCCAGCACTTGACCTGTTTGTCTTCCCCGGCAGAGAAGAGGTAGGGCTGACGGTGGCTGACTGTGAGGGCCCGGACTGCACTGATGTGGCCAGTGAGGGTCAGCTTCAGTCGACCTGATGCAAGCTCCCACAGCTGCAATACAAGACCCAGAGAAAGAGAGAGAGAGAGAGAGAGAGAGAGAGAGGGGGGGGCATTCAATAGGCAAGATAGCTGAACACATTAAAGTATGCTTGGTAATTTTTTTTGAAGCCACGCCCACACACACCTTGATGGTTCTATCGCTGGATCCAGTGGCAAACCACTCGTTCCCTGGCTCCATGGTGATGCATCGTACTCAGCCGAGATGGCCGCTGAGGACCCTCATCAGTTTCCACGGAGGGTGCCACTCTGGCCACACTGTCTGGAGTGCCCGGCGGGGGACCAGCTGCTGAGTCCCCTTGCTCAGGACCAGGGTCTGGGGATTGGGGGGGGACAAGCATGGAGCAGGGAGAGAGATGAAGACCAATTAGTTTAGGGGTGTTTTGGAACCATTTTTTACACTACTGAGTGTATAGATGCACATTGCTTGCAGTAATCATGTCATTTGAGAGCTGTTTCTAGTTCCTCATTGCTACATAGGGACAATTAAAAGTAGACCATCACACAAGTTGTTTTGTATAATATACTTGTGAAGGAAGGCCAATTCGATCCTTTCCAGCATGTTCATAGATGTCTCCCACACTGGCACCAGTAGGACTGTATGGTATAGCACACAGAGAGAGAGATGACATTACGTCCGAACTTATTCTCTTGGTCGACCCGAATAATAGTGGGTAATAAGCGGAGCGCGCGAGCGCTCTTAGCTAGCTAGCTACGTCTGCCGGCACGTGCTGGCTCATTGCAAAGAGTATCATCATCGTTATCGCGGAGGTCGCCGCCATCGTCCTAATTATTGGAATTATCATAAATCTCCAGCCAAAAGTAAAACTTATCATTGAGATTCTGGTAATACACAATTGTTTTTTCCATCACATTCAGATATGTATAGCTATCTATTTACAATACAGGAGGTTATCTTTGGTGTTTGTGTGATTCTCTCCTACTTTGGAACAGGAATTGCCTGTGCCGTGTATATATGCTGCTGAGTGGGGCTCGTTTTGAGATGATAATTATGCAGGAGATACTTGTGCAACAATCCCTCTTGCTGCAACAACTGCACTGCAAGCTGTAAGTTTGTGCGGGGTCTAGTTATTCCCCGCGGCTACGAGTCGTGGAGCGGACGCGCTATGCCTCGTAAAGATAACTGTAATTGGGACACTTTGCATTCAAATTTATACATTTCTGGAATTTCTATATAGGTATTTTGCTTCATCCAAATCGGAGTGTTTGGAGTCATTGTTGTGTTGACAATACTTGGAATCGTGAGGAGCAGATCTGAGTCAAAAGCCTGAGGAAAATGCCGAAGAGAGACTAGAACTGTAGGATTTTCTTAGCTATATACAGAACTTCATGTTAGATTTTGATCCTGAATCATTATTAGCCTGTATGAAAGCAGTATAGAAATGTTGGTAACATCATATTTTTTAATCAGCGCAAGCTAAAAAATCTGCACCTAATATAATATACATATAGCTATACTAATGCACTATGTGCTTATATTATGGAACTCGCACACACTGTTTTATGGGTGAGAAACTGCTCCAGGTGATGCAAACAGGCCTGCACGCATAATACTTTTGAAAGGCACTGCATTAAGACATACAATTCAGCTGCACTAACTGCTGTGTATCATCAGCTTTACTATTCATTTTTTTGACTCTGTGCCCAGGCAATGTGCTCCCAACTATTATACTAGCAGGGATTACACTCATCTTGTATCTTTGCTAATAATCTGGCCCAACCAGTGTGAAAGCAATGTCCATTTCAGTATGAGAGCCAGGGAATTAAGAGTAAGAGCCACATTTTATCTGTGAATGAAAAAATATACATTAGTGAAACACTGCTTCAAACTGCAGCTTTTATACAAACATCAGTCCACCCACCACCGCCTCATTTTCTCTGTAAATTGAAGGGCCCTGCAGTAAGCAATGTATATACCAGAAAGAATAACATAGCAAAAACCATGCATTAATGCAGCTAGGAACTATCTGTGTATATAGGACTCATTTACCAAAAACGTGGGCACAAAAGCACCCAACTTCGAGACATTTGCATTTCACACAGAAGCTCTCAGTCATTTGGCTGCACATATTGGCCAATGTGTCTATTTTACAGACAAGGACCTCAGAGTTAATTTACTGCATATTGACTAGAGTAGAGTTCGGCATGCATCTATTCCAATCTGGCAGCTTCACCTCAGTGGCCAGAAAAATGTGAGGACACCTTCAATATTTTTGCACCTGAGCCCTCTCTTGTTGAAAACACCTGTCCTCTGGTTGATGTTATCCCGCAGACTGCCTTGCAAAAACGTGTGATAGCTATGATGCTTATCTCACACTAATGATATTAGAGACTAGGATTTAGCTTTGGGGGCTGTCGAGGACAGTCGAGAGCCGCGGTCATTTTTTCGCATGCATAATTATTGTAGTTTGCAGCGAGGAAAATCTACTGAGCCTAGATTTCTTCGCCTTCCTATTCGAGTAGTGAAAATGTTTTTTAGCCTGCTGCCAATGTCACCAGCTGTCATACGAATAATCGGTAGATAAAAGTTGTTGCAGTACTATACAGTTCCCACAACCATGCGTGACGGAAAGTACGCGCATGAGCAAATATTATGACGAAAGTTATGCGGGCGTCTAGCCCTCTCTCAGCCGGCCGCCGATCGACATGCTAACTGCGCCTGCGCTGCTAAAATTGTGATATATACGCATGCGCGGAAAATTGTGGCGAGGTCGCGTCGTCGTGTGTTTGCGCAAGACCCATAAAAGAGCGCCGAACTACGTTCTTTTTTCAGAAAAGAACTTGCAGCAGGCTAAAGAGAAAAAATATAGTCATGCCAGTAAACATCGTCGCTGTTTTGCCCCGTACGGGAGCAATTGTAAGTTAGCTAGCTTTTACTTTGTTCGCGCACGGGATTGCGACATCTCTTGTATATATATAGATACTAGCAGTTGTTCTCCTTATTGTGTCTGCCGCCACCATTGGAGTCATTAACAACAATGAAGGACTTCGGGATGCTCGGGATTATGATGGTACGTAGCTACGCCATTCTCTGATCTCCGTCATGTTTTATGCTTTTGCCCATTTTGCAGGTCCAACGACAGGCAATACTCTTATTGAGGATACTGTGGAGCTCCAGACGCTCATTCTCTCCACGCAAGGTTCTGCAGCCTGGCTTATTATAATGAGTATCGGCATCGTGATCGCGGAAGCCATCGCCATCGTCCTAATTATCATAGATCTCCAGGGGAATGGGAAACTTATCGTTGGAATCCTGGTATATATATATATAGCTACGGTATTACGAAGCGTATGTAATTCATATTTCTTTTCGCAATGCAGGAGATAATCTTCAGCGTTCTGGTGATTCTGTCCTACTTCGCAACTGGAATTGCCTCCGCCGCGTATGCTGCAGCGTGGGGCGCTCCACCAGACCTATGCGAACTTGGGGAAACCGTCCAGGACGATCCGTGCGATAGGAAGCCACTCACTGCAACAACCGCACTGCAAGCTGTAAGTCGGTCCAAGGAAGCAACATTTGGCGGAGTAATCCCCCGCGGCTAGTAGTGTTGGTAGAGGGTGCGCGAATAGGCGCCCCAGATCACCCGCCGAAAATTAGTCTCTCCTGAAAAGGTTTTTTCTGGTCTGAAACCGACAGTGCCATCTTCAAGAAAAGGAACTATAACTATAGAAGAACCACGTCTTGCGCGCTATGCCGCATTTTTGCAACTTTCATTCTGTTTCTGGAATTTATAGGTGTTTTGCTTCATCCAAATCGGAGTGTTTGGAGTCATTGTTGTGTTGACAATACTTGGAATCGTGAGGAGCAGATCTGAGTCAAAAGCCTGAGGAAAACGCTGAAGAGACTAAGAGAGACTAGAATAATATGACTTTGACACTGACTGTAGGGTTTTCTTAGCTATTATCCTGTATGAAAGCAATATAGAAGTGTAGAATAACAGTTTTGTTATAACTAGACCCGACATTCATGGTCAATGCAAGCAAAAAGGTAATGCTGTCGCGCATTGCTACATTGCAGAACTCTGCATAATTAACCCTCGGCGCGCACGCGCAGCGAGGGTTACAGTACTTAGTCTGTCCGTCTGTCCTTCTGTTACCACGTTTTCTGCCACCGCGCGCAACAAACAGGTAAAATAGCGATATCAACGGGCTACGCTCGCTTCATTTTTAAAACGGCGATTTTCGTAAAATTGCCGCATTCAGATTTCTTCTTCAGAATTAAGTTACCAAGAACAAGCCCATATGCAAATTAGCACAGGCTTACCTCGACCGAGTCCGCTTGCTCTGTGTAAGTACCCTGGAGGCACATGAAGTCACAACGAAGGGCGTGTATCGACTCCTGCATGCTATCTATATAGGAGAGCCAAGGTTGCAGCTATAATCTCTCCCCAGTCTGAAAACGTTTAAACCCACACAGGAAACTATATATTAGGGTGTAACGTGTAGTAAGTGTGCACACCCTTAGGATTATCAACAAAATTCATTTTCAAGGCTACGTATAGCCAAGATCTTGCTTGCAGCAGACGACTGCTTGTATACACCACAGGCAATTTTTCCTCCATAGGGAGGAAGTTGTCCTCTCTTTGGGGATTAAAAATGTACCGTGATGAGCAAAAGAAAAGTGAACATTTGGGACCACAAAGTGTGTCCTTTATCAGGTTCTACTGTTCCCTGGACCCTGGCAATAATTATACAAACTTGCTTTCCCAGACTCCCCCCCGCTGTCACCATCTTGAAAACCAACCTACAATGTTATCAGTCTGTAAGCTTTCCTGTCAACATAATGCTCAATTAAAAGGTGCTGTACATAAACAAACTGTAAATATGCCAGTTTCAGTATTAGAGATATAGGGCATCGTGTTGAAGGTGCATGTTCTCAATATCTCTTTCTTCTCATAATCTCAGGTTTCCAAACAACTGGATGAGACTCTTCAGTCTATGGGGAAAAGACCACAATAAGAAATTGAAAGAAGTAAACAAATGCTGCATGCTAACTGCACTCTGAAATTGCCATGAAAAAAAAGAGTAACAAACAATGCTAATACTTTCGCATGCTAACCACACTATGAAAATAGCACCAACAACTAGGAGAAAGGGTAGACAAACACTCTACTAACACCTCTGTATGCTAACCACAGTGAAACGTCATTACGCAAAAAAACTGGAAGGTGCCGCGATGCGTGTCTCCGCTCACCGCAGTGTCGTCCTCTTTGTAAATCTTGATTGTCTTGTCGGCCTCGGCAGTGAGGAGTCTGCAACCACTCACGTCAAACAGACACTTGAAGATGCCGGCCTCGCTGTCCAGCGACCCTGGCTGCACCGTGGTCTGGTGTTTCTGGAAGTTGTAGCCAGTTTTCCAGTCCCAGAAGTGAAGGCTCCCATTGTCCCCTGCAGTGCAGTGCACAAGGCAAGAACACTAGCAAGTGTGTGTACACAGTAGAAGAGCAATAAGCTGCAAGGTTATTTTCTGTCTAAAACAACGTTAACCCCATCTAAGTAAGGGTAAAGTATAAACACTCAACTCATTATCAAAGAGTCTATATACACCTGACCACTGTATCTAAACACACACAGATAAGTAAATATACACACAGAATTATAAATAAACACATTAGGTCTCAAAAGTGAAGGTATATACATACAGGAAGATTTACTGTATACACAAAAAAAAAAACAGAATCAACACATAAAACACTCTCCAAATGTAACTGGAGCGATCGTGGTAAAAAACATGAACATATTTTGAGCACTCAATAATAACACTGGTAGATTATGTATGTAGCCAGTGGGTTACATTATCTCCGAGGTCTTCAATCTAAACATAACTAACTGGCGTACGTAATCCAACAGTGTTTCTATACATACAGCACTAGCACTAGTAGTAGTTTGTCTTTCTATCTCGTAGTTCACACATACGTACATACCTCCAGAGACAAGGACCCCATCAGAGTTTATTGCCAGTGTGTTGACTATTGACTGGTGGCCAGTGAAGTTCTGCAAGAAATTCCCGTCCGGTAGCTTCCATATCTTTATGTTGTCCGGAGACCCGCTGGCAAAGCAAAACCTGAGAAATGGAGTCTAAGATGCAACTGCAGACAGTTTTTTTTTTATATACAGATGCGATGAAAAGATTATCTTAAGGTGGTAAATGGGAAGGCAGGTATTGACTTTGCTTTTTTGTTCTTTACTTTTGACAAGCGGCTATCTCAAAAACCACATCATCAAGAGGTAATGACCACAAAGATTGGAATCCGTGACAGGTCGTGCAAGACAGCTATACCATAGCTTGGGCTTCACACAACTCTTTATCAGTCGGTTAAAGGGAATGTGGCAGTATATAAGGGCTAAATTACCAAATATAGAACAAAACAATAGGGGCACAGTGAAAGAATACAATTGAGTTCCGTTTTTAGTATATAGCATTTCTAAATTTAGCCCTTATATACTGCCACATTCCCTTTAATAGTGCAACTGTGGTGTGTTGTAGTATCAGCTGACTCTGTAGGGTGCATGAAGAGGGCTCTGATGCTCTTCTTGTGGTTGGTGAGGACGGCCTTCGTCTTGCCGGCTGCCAGGTCCCACAGACGAACGGTGCAGTCATGACTCCCTGTCACCACCTGTGTTCCATTTCACACAGTACGTTCATGAATGAACGAGTGCTAAAACCGACCCTGCAATACCTCTAACTTCCCCTTCTTACATTACAGTCCAACTTCATACATAGATGCTGGAATAAACTAACTATCAGGGTGTTTTTAAAGGGGAGAGAAGACAACTCTCGGTAGAGCTAAACTTGAACAAGTCATGCAGGTTGTGTTTGTAGAAAGTTCCCTTCATTCAAAAGCATCCCTTATACTAACATACATATTAGTATAAGGCGGTATCATATACAAGTGGCATTTGCTTTGTAAAGAGGGGTTTCCCTGTACATTTACAGCATATACCTGAGGATTGGGTGCTTGTGTCAGGATATCGGCCACTGTGTTGGTGTGTCCACCGAGGGTGTGGATGCAGGCTTTTGTCCGCATGTCCCACACGCGAGCCGTGGCGTCCCTGCCTCCAGTCAGGAGGACGTCGATGGTCGGGTGGAGGGACATGCAGTAGACACCACTCAGGTGACCGTGGTAGTGACGGACCACCTGCAAACCAACACACGGCTGATACTACCACACACACCAGTTGTACTATCAAAGGGGCTGACAGTGGTAACCCTCCAATCCAGGCACCAATGAGAAGTGTAGGGGTTAAATTGAACTGTTCTTGGGGGGAAAGAAAAGGTGTCCTTAGTAGTCCTCGCTTTAGGGGTTAATTTGCATGCAAGAACCTCATGTTCTTGGGGAAAGAAAAGGTATTTTTAGTTTATGGAGGTGTCCTCATTACAGGAGTAAGGGTTCCACAATAACAGTTACGGCTCTTTCAATAATGTGGTACATGCAATGATAAAGTCAAGCTAGGTAAATAATGCACTGCGGTTCGTTGTGTTCATTCTAGTGCCTGACCTTGTTGTACTCGAGGTCCCAGCACTTGACCTGCTTGTCTTCCCCGGCAGAGAAGAGGTAGGGCTGACGGTGGCTGACTGTGAGGGCCCGGACCGCGCTGATGTGGCCAGTGAGGGTCAGCTTCAGTCGACCCGACGCAAGCTCCCACAACTGCAATACAAGACCCAGAGAGAGGAGAGAGAGAGAGAGAGACATTCAATAGGCAAGATAGCTGAACACATTAAAGTATGCTTGGTCATTTTGTTGAAGCATTTTTTTGAGATTTTTTCTGGTGTAATAAATATTTGAGGCGGTTTGCTGCCTGTTAACACTTTGAACCATATTTACATAGCACTATGTAATGCTGGGCATGGAGTGAAGACCTGTTTTTTTTCTCGGAAATATTCTTTTTCCTAATGGATTCACCTTTTAATGGGCCATGTGGGAAAAGGGTAAAAATAAAACCACGCCCACACACACCTTGATGGTTCTATCGCTGGATCCAGTGGCAAACCACTCGTTCCCTGGCTCCATGGCGATGCATCGTACCCAGCCGAGATGGCCGCTGAGGACCCTCATCAGTTTCCACGGAGGGTGCCACTCTGGCCGAACCGTCTGGAGCGCCCGGCGGGGGACCAGCTGCTGAGTCCCCTTGCTCAGGACCAGGGTCTGGGGGTTGGACGGGGAGGAGAACAACAAGCATGGAGCGGGGAGAGAGATAAAGACCAATTAGTTTAGCGGTGTTTTGGGACCATTTTTACACTACTGAGTGTATAGATGCACATTGTTTGCAGTAATCATGTGACTTGTGTCTAGTTCCTCATTGCTACATAGGGACAATTAAAAGTAGACCGTCACACAAGTTGTTTTGTATAATATACTTGTGAAGGAAGGCCAATTCGATCCTTTCCAGCATGTTCATAGATGTCTCCCACACTGGCACCAGTAGGACTGTATGGTATAGCACACAGAGAGAGAGAGAGAGAGAGAGAGAGAGAGAGAGGACATTACGTCCGAGCTCAAACAAAACACCACAGGAAGGCAACAAAATGTCACGAGGTGCAGGAAGGCACTCACATATGTTTGTGGGCAGCTGCAACTTGTTCCTTGACGACGGCTATTCCCTCCTCTGAGAGAGGGCGTGTCTTAGCGGCAGTACCCGGTCCAAGGGATCACACCTTCAGCAACAAACAATACACACCACATTCACTCAGCCTGTATATGCACGTACCTGGTGCACTAGGATATGCATGTCCACCCAATACAGTCACTGAAGGTGGATCTGCAAAAGGAGTCAAATACTTCTTGGTAAATTTCACAATGTCTGAAGTAATTGAAACAGTGTATTTTTGGGCTGTGTATATACCAGGTTTTGCAGAGGTCGGTGCAGTCCTCATTGTCATTTTGGCCACCGTCTCGTTGGGAGGAGGAAGATCTTTGACTTGGTAGTGCTCCGACTGTATTTTGCATGCTATCTTTGCCTTCAAACTAAATGGAGAGAGTAGGGGAGCGAGTCAGAAGTAAAGGCTTTTAGACTTACGCCAGGTCATCCTCGGGAATCGGCTGGCCCTCGTGACCGAGAAACATGTCGTGGGTTCGTTTGAGTGAGCGGAACACCAGTGTGTGCACACTGTGCTTTACTACTGGATCCTGTATAGCATCACACAAATACATTACGTGGCAGTTCGAGAATCATTTGACAAGCATGCACCAAAATAAATAAGTGAAGAATACACGACAACTCAACTAACTTCCATAGCTAAAGTGTTCTGTAAGGGTCGGTGTTGAAGGAACCTCCAAGAACCACCCGCAAACTCTAATTGAAGCGCGCCGTCTATGATGCGCTTTCATTAGAATCACCGAACTGGAAATGGAAGGTGTGGAGGAGAGCAAGTGGCTAGAGCAGGATGAACAAGAGAATGTGGGTCATGAAAAGGTGAGGGCTCTCCACCTGTATTCGGAGCGAAATTTAGAATTCTCGCAGAAGAACGAGGTTGAAGACACCGAGGAGCTGGAGGTGTTCCGGAGGCAGTGGCAGGAGGAGCTGAAGCACGCCAGCTCTGATAGCAGCCAGCAGCGGCAGCAGGAGAAGAAAGAAACGGAGGTGTGTATATTTAACACTGCATATATAAGTTCCCCGCTAATAAGACATACAGTATGTTGTGACCAGTCTACATGTATGCCACATTACACAATTCACATTTATGCAGGCAGCAGGTTTGTACTGGATGGGAGTGGCAGCAGAAAGAAGTGGAGATACACATTCAGGTTTGGGGCTCACCTATACATTCTATTGACTTACTAGTGACTTTTCCTGACATATTATTGTTAAAATATTCGTTATGAGAATGAATCTCGATGAGAAAAAAGGGTAGTCACTATTTTCTAACTTCCCTCCCCACAGCTCTGATTTACTACCGCCATGCTGTGCAGCTGGTGCCTGATATAGAGTACAGGGTCCACTCACAGGACACCCCCAGACATTTGAGAGAAGAAGGTGAGAAATATAGGTTTTCACTGATAGATTTTTTTGAAGCTTCATAGGTATCAATTTTTAGTTTTCCCGGAGGAAAAATATTTGTTTGCTAGCATAATTTTTGCATCCCTGAGTCAAATTTTATGGAGAATGATAGTCTGTCTCTGTATCAAAAGGAAATGATTCCAGTGATGAAGATGAGGAGGAGAGGGAGGAGGAGGTGGAGGTGAGGAGTGAGGTGGTGGAGGAGGGTGTGGTCTCCATTACCGAGTCACTGAGTCGCATGAACCTAAGATCCCCAGTCTGTCAGCCTGACAGACCTACCAGGGTTAGTATATATGCCTATTCCGATAGTGTATTATTGGTAGATCACATTACTAATATCACTTAGTATAGGGTCAGTTACCAACCAGCCATGGTATTGAGAGAACAGCTTCATGTACATACAATACAGTAGTGTATTAACTATCGGTGAGTATGATAAAGCAGTGTGTGTTTGATGCAGGCTACCCACATATCTTCCCTGCCGTGGGAGGTGTTGAGACTGGTCCTGCACTGCGTGGTGTCTGTTCATCTCGACATGAGGAGTCTGGAACAGTGCTCCATGGTATGGTACACCACTGCTATGTTTATAGCTGGCGTGGACACACCCTTTTAGACATCGTTAGCCACAGATAAATTTCTTCACTGGGTTATATACCTATGATTAATTAATCCGCGCACCTCTCTCCTGATCTATGCATCCTTCATTTCGCACTCGCGCTGGCTTACCAATAACACATGTTGCATTCGTTCTAGTAGACACACACTTTCCACGTGAATGATATTCTTCTTGTATATAATAGCATAGCCGTTAATGCTATATAGTATATGACTTTACTGTTGTGTGCAGGTCTGCAGAGGGTTCTGCTGTCTTGCAAGGCAGCCCGCGTTGTGGAGGATGGCCTGTCAAAAGTAATAAAACATTGCTCGAGATAACGCCACAAAGTTCTTTATATTATGATAATATCTTCATCTCCATAATATTATTATGATAATAGATTGTGGTCGAACTGCAGCCTAACAGGGTCCTTTGATAACTGCTATAGAAGTTGGCGGGAGATGTACATAAACCGTCCACATCTCTACTTTCACGGTGAGAGTATGGACAGCAGTTCCATATACCATTGGACATTATTCATACCTTCTTTTCTTCTGCTATTGATGGTCTACTCACAGGTGTGTATATAAGCAAAATATCGTATGTGAGAAGAGGAGAGCACTCTTTGGATGGCTACTATAAGCCATACCATACGGTGGTCTACTACCGATATCTCAGGTTCCTTCCAGATGGTTAGTAAAGATATTTGTCTTGATGAGATGGTTAACAAATAAGTGTGTTTAGCTGTCTCCAGTGGAAGCCTCTAATCATGCCACCAATGTGACGGATGCGTCCATTATTAGTGAGGGGGTCCTTATTTTCAGGGGTTAAATTCAATGGCAAGATCTGTTCTTGGGGAAGAAAAAGAGAGGTGTCATCATTCAGGGGATTCTTAGAGAGAGGCTCGTAGAGAGGCAGTTGATTTTGTGTTGACTTAAGTCTGGTAAGAACTGAAAACCAAGCTATCCATCCATATCATGTATATAGTAGATAACGCCATTGCCCAGCTGTGTGTGGGACATTGACTCTGTGTGGCGGCCCCAACGCAGGTGTGGTGATGTACCAGACGTCGCCGGATGACCCTGGCAATGTCGTGGGCAGACTCTGTCACAAGCACAGCTCAGAGTCCGTTCTACTGGGAGAATACAGCCTGGATGGAAACATGGTGAGGTGTTCAACTATGAAATAGCCTAGCTATATACATGTAGCTATTCTCCAAAATGAACGAACACTGGTGCTATTTGTACTCCATTAAGAGCACTATTACCACCATGGTTTTTGGGTAGCTATATCACTAAGTACGGTAGTACTTACTATTATAGGGATGGGCATGGTGCCTAGCATCAGATATATGTGGTATATACTAATAATAAATCGATCACAAATACAGCATGGGAATGGGTAGAGCATAATACAGTAGATTTATGGGTCTATAATAAAGTTTATGTCTTACTGTATACACATAGTTGACAGTAGACGTGCTGGGATACCAGTCGAGGCTGGTGCCACATAGACACAGAGGCAGGGAAAAAAGGGAGATTACACATGAGCAGAGATTTCACATGGTCAGTACAGTATATATAGTAGTTCGAGAATCCGACATTGAGCATTTTTTGTTTCTGCCCGAAGGAACTGATTGTGAAAAGAAGTAAAAAGAGTCGTATTTTCAACCAACTAATATGGCAGGAGCACTACTGCCACTCTCTCCACAGGTATATATGAGAAACATGAAACCAGCTACTGTGATGTTGTTGTTTACACAGGCCAACTGGGAGCGTGCATATCTCTCATTTCTCGATAGACTACAAGTATCCTCCGTTTTTCTTTTCCCGTGTGAAGAGCTATACATCCAATTCTCAGGGGTTCCTGAGCTAACACATTAGCAATCATTATTTCAAGCGCACCATCTAGAGCCTCGTAATTCCCAGTCCGCGCAATTAGAGGGCGCCGGGGAACGCGGCTCTACGTATCGCGTATACGTGCGTACGTACGTGTATACATAGCTAGAGATCTAGCTTCCGCCGCGGCGCAACGGCTAGATGAAAATTCCCCGGGTAATTCCCTAGGCTAGGCTTACGCTAGCTGTTGGGTGCCGGCAAATATGGGAGCGAACGAAAGTTCGGACTATGGCGAGCGCTACAGAGTCGTTCCTTCGTCTCAGCTCGCTCGCAGCCGGAGAGAAGAACCCGATCAGTTCCGTGTGCTGCGCGTGGAGGCCGAGCGCAACGAGATCCAGGTCGGCGGAACGCGGCTGGAGACGCGACGGGTCAACGTTGTTAGCGCTGCAGGCGGCGGTGGGCGACTGCGGCTACAGCAGCGGGAGCACGTGGAGATACGCCTACAGGGACAAACGGCGAGGCCGGGGCTCGAGTGGCGAAGTCCCCCTCGATTAGCTCTTGGAGGACCAGACGAAGATTCCGACGACGACGATGATGCCGGATACGCCTGCACGTACGATGACGACGGACCGGGGTACATGCTGCAGCCGTGGTACAGGTGCCGCACTTGCTGGGGCCCCGGCGCGGACGAGTCTTGCTTCGGTTGCTGCTCGCACTGCGCCCAGACGTGCCACCGCGGGCACGACGTGCAGAAATGCGGACTCTCGAAGGGCGAGTGCGACTGCGGCCAGTACAAGCACCAGGCGGCCGTCTGCACTTGGCACGTAACCAAGCGGAACTACGTCAAGCAGCCCTTCTACCGCTGCTTTGACTGTTTCGACGAACCGAGGAACGGAGTCGGGGAGGGAGTGTGCTACCAGTGCTGGAAGATCTGCCACCGCACGCACAACACGCGCTACGTCGGCGTTCTGTCGGCATTTTGCGATTGTGGCCTCACCAGCTGCCAAATCAAGTGCACCATTCCGGCTCCGAAGTGAAAAAGCCGAACATTGGGGACGCTAAATATTTGTTAGTATAGTGTGTGTACTTATAGTTACACGTTGCGTGCGCACTCGCCATAACTTTTGTGGACTCACGAAAATAAGTTAGAATGAGGCTGTTGTTTGATGCTGGTGGACCTATGATGTACCTATATATGTATGGTGGTCAGACAACTGCTAGGGAGAGCTGGGAGCAGCGCAGGCTGCACCAAAAGACGAGAGCGGTCTGTAGTTCAACTCTGGAGGCAGGATCTTGGTCAGGGCTGTGTCCAGGATGAACCCAGTTATACCCCACACTCTATTGGTGCCACCGAGAAAGACTGGGAAATAGAATCTGATTGGGTCGTCGGAACTTTGTGTGTCGGTGGTTGGCAGGATCTGCCAGGTCCTCCACACTCACAGAGAACACTGACATGACCTATAGGCAGAGATATGAAGGGTTCAAACCAATATTATAGTTTAGTGCTACAAATCAGGGTGTTCAAGTATATATACATACAGTGCCAGTTGATCCCTATGGTATGGGGCATAATAATATCTGGGATGGAAAATTTGCAGTTTATTCACAATCACATTTCGCAGGAAAATGAATTCATATCCCCCGCACAAATTTTAAGCCTCCATGGTATTCATGTGCGTGAACATACTGATGCCCATTCATGAACAGGTGCATAAACTGTGACAGCATCACGAAGACAATCACCTCGGCCGGGTTTGTTTGCAGATGAGCGGGATCAACTTCCCCAACGTAACCAATTACTGGAGTGATGGTCAGTCCAAACTGCCATGGAAGAGAGCATAAGTAGCCGGCTCAAGGCTAATGCCGGTATAATGCACTGCTAGTGTAAAGGTGTAAGGCGATATATACCCTGTCAGGCATTGACGGCAGAGCACCCCACACGTCGATCTGAGAGGCGGGTATGCCCAGCTCCTCTTCCGTCTCTCTCAGAGCTGTGGCCGCCACGTGTTGGTCACCCTCATCCGACATCCCTCCCGGGAAACTGGAGAGAGACAGCGGAAAAACAATTCCAGTACATCAGATGCACCAAAGGTGAGGAGAGGGTTTTCGCTGAAGATAAACTATGAGTACTCGCTGGACCTGACTAGCTAAATAGCGGCTCACCTGACTTGGTTTCTGTGCCTGGTGAGTTGGCCGGACCTCACCGTGAACAGGACGGACGGTTTGCCATGGTGGAGATGGAGCGGTACTAGTACGGCCGCGTGCTTTTCGTTCTGGGGGACACTAGCCGTCGCCGGCTTTAGTCTCGCTCTCACGGCGGCCCTATTCCGGGCGCTCAGGATCCCCTGGTATCCGAGGCTCTTCGCGGCCATGCCCCTGCCTGCCACACGAAGCTGATCGATTCAGCACTTTTGAACGCGCATGCGTACAAAGCAAGAGTACTCTTATCGTATCATCACGTACACGTACGACAGCAAAAATCACAATACACATTAACCTGCCTGCACGTCTCTCCTACAGTTCTACAGACTTGCCACTGTACTGCTGGCCTCTCCTTCAGCTTTATGAATGGTAATCACGGCGGAATGTGACTTACTCGCATTCTCTGCACTGACGCTCCCTTCTTCATCAACTGGATGGACGGAGGCTGGGGCATGATCATCTCCAGTTACCGTTTTCTTTCTTTTCGTCTTGGTCGATGTCGATCGACGGCGGCGACGTGGTTGAAACGAGAAACCCCCAATTTGAAAAATGGGTTTTTCCTTGCCTCCCTCCCTGTCTCCATTTTCCTCTTCCTTGTCTTCTGCCTCCTCCTCCTCTTCCTCGAGCTCCTTAAAGAGGTGTTTCTTAGCAGCCCAAGTGATGGCAGCAAGGATAGCCGACGGAACAAAGGAGATGAGAATGCCACTTAGGGTGTTAGTGTCCCCGCCAACCTTCACAAAGTTCAGGTAGAGTATCACACCCACGAAAAATATTACAAAGATCAGAAAGAATCCGATGGCCTGAACAAACAGAATCACCCTTTCCCTTGGTTCCACACTCCATTCCTGGTTGAATTTTTCCCACTGGGTACCACCACCTTTGTTTCTCTCCATTTGACTGAACCTGTGCTTTAGGATGTAGTTGCCTTCGAAGGCGTTCAGAATATAGGCTACAAAGACCACCAGACAGAAGAAGAGTGAGATCATTATGACCACAAACGCAAGGGAAGGTACGGGGTTTACGATAGTAACGACAGCTAGAGGAATGATGGAAGAAACGAGAAGTTGGAGGAAGAGGATAATGATCCACATGCCCACGCCGAGGGTGATGTGGTTTAACGTGTCTAACCAGTTCTGTGACCCCCAGCAACGAAAACACCGCTGGATGATGCGAACGCCGTAAGGGATGAAGAAATTAACGTCGTGGTGGGTGAGCAACGATGCAACTAGCTCAGCTACTGCTAGTACGACCACTGTTATATCACTCGCGATCCGAAAAGGAAAGACTATGAATGCTTGTCATCTATCATATACAAGGGGTAGTAGAGGTAGCAGTTGCCAATGATGATGACTACAGCACTGGTAAAGCACACGAACACAACCGACCAGTACATACTGGCCACTAGCTGGTACTTCTTTCCATACCGCAGTTCACCTAGGTAGCTGTGGTACTTGTGGAGAAAGTACGTGGCCGCCAGAGCAAAGACGATGTTCATAAGGATGTTTACGACTGTCAGTAAGGACAAGGTTAGCCGACTGCGATTGCCTCCTCTCTCCTCGCGGAGTGCAAACCCTCTGTCTTCGTGAGAGTACTCAACATCCTCCAACTCCAGGTTGTCTGAGTTCTGGGCATAGAGCTGCAACTGTAAGATTACAATAAGCATGGTAGTACAAAACTCGTGGATGCAAACTTTTCCATCTGCAAACTCCAATCCAGTATATAGCTTATGGAGCAGTGGCAATGCACATGCTATGCATAGCCTTTACAATCCCAAACTCTAAGTTTTGACACTCATAGAGTGCATAGTACATAGTTTGAAAGAGTAGCCATGCCAAGTTTAGAAAATCTACCTATACATACCTAGACCCATAGGCAAAACTACACCCTACACTATGCTCATCCCTACCATATACATGAATATTATTAGACATGTACGTCTACTTATTGACAGGTGTTACCGACCAACTTTGTTCCCAAGAAATTCCTTCACAAATGAAGATTTATCAAGCAACAGTTGTGACATTATATTGTTTACTGGTTTCAGAGTATCTAGACGGTTGTTAAAAGACGGGCTTACCCAGGGCAATATGTCCTCCCAGGCGTCCAGCAATACACCATTATCCGGTCGACAAGGCAGCTCTGGGATGATAAGATGCAACTGGACCGTGTCGTCTCTCGCCGCGCCGAGGCTGCTCATGTTGGTACCGTTGTCTTGCAGCTGTCCCAAGTTGTCTAGGACGGCATCAAAAGTGCTGAAAGCGGCTGCAGCGAAGGCGTTGAAACTGGTGTTCTGCAGTAGGTCCAGATCTTCACGCTTGATGATGTAGGAAATGACGGTCTTGCTCCACTGATGTCTCCAGCCGAGTGTCAGCGGGCCGCAGTCGTAAATACTGCACACCTCGTCCATGCTCGGCGGAGAGTCTACGGAACTGTTACCAAACTCGTAGTTTTCATCCTTGCAGGCGATCCTGGTGACATTTTCCACGTCAAGAGTCATCGCCACCATGAAGAGAGGCGGAATGTTACCCTCGGACGGGAAGAACGCCTTGCGAAGCGTATACAAGACATTTCCCTGTCGAAAGGCTTCGTTGACTTTTCCGAAGAAGAAGGAGCAGGTTACGACCGAGTCTTCGTCGCCACACGTCCTCAAGTGAACCTGCGCCGTGCCCGGGGAACACAGAAACGGCAGTAATATTATGCTGCACCACACTCCGATCGCAGTAGCCGTCGACATAGTGCTCGCTCGCTCGGGGACTGCCGGCCACACCTGGCCACAGCTCGCTTGTTGAGTTAGCCCAGCCCCCTTTACTACGCTCGCGCTGGCGTGTAGATAACTCTGATTGCAGTATAAATAGCAGCGTATATTTTTAAAAAACATGAATGAAAATAATAAGTTATTGCTCAAACCATTGATGTGTTATCGACATCAAGATTCCTCAGAGTGAACTCTGGCATGTCAATAGACACACTTTTAGCCAGTTCTTCTTTCCACACTTTCTCCTGCACCTCCATCTCACCGCTGCCTGCTGCACCTTTCTCCTCACCCCCATTGAGATCTTTTTCTTCCGTCTTCTCATCACTGAAACCTTTCTCTTCCGTCTTCTCATCTGTCTCCAAATCGGAACCCTTCTTATCATCCTTGGTTTCTGCGTCTCCATCTTGAGCCAGGTATATCTCGATTGCAGTTGAATTACGTTTGATATCGTTCCCTCCATCGATGCTAGCTTCTTCATTTATAAGATTAGAAGTGGCCAACGTATGTCCATTTTCCTTCACTGTGTTTTTCCTTCTCTTAGTTGATCGACGTCGACCCTGTTGAAACGAGAAACCCCCGATTTGAAAAACCGGGTTGTCTTCTGTTTCCTCCGTCTCTCCATTCTCCTCCTTCTCTGCCTCGATTTCCTCCTCGAGCTCCTTGAAGAGGTGCTTCTTGGCAGCCCAAGTGATGCCGCCAAGAACGACTGACGGGACGAGAGAGATGAGGAGACCTCCGACGGTATTTGTGTTGGCACCGGCCCTCACAAAGTTGAGGTAGAGAATGATGATCATAGCAACAATGACAAAGATGACGAGGAAGACAAAGGCCTGGGCTACCAGAATCAGTTTCTCCCTGGTCCAGTTTCCAGCTACGTTCCAGTCTGCCTTCATCATCGCCCAGGTCAAGCTTGAGTTGCGTCTTTGGTCGAGAGGGAGCCTGTGTCTGGCAATGTAGTTTCCCTCAAAGGCATTCACTAAGTAGGCGATGAAGATCACTAGACAGCAAAAGAGTGCAATCATGATGGAGATGAACGCAAGGGAAGGTACGGGATTAACAAACACAACGACCGCTAGGGGGAGGAGCGATGCAATAACAAGCTGGAGGAAAACAAGTATGATCCACATGGCCACTCCGAGGATGGCACGACGCAGAAAATTGAGTCGAGTCTCCGACCCGCAGCAATGGCAGCACTGGTTCAAGCAGAGCGTGCGACGAATGAGGTGGGGGATAAAGAACTTTGGATCGTGGGGTGTTAGCATCGACGCCAACAGCTCCACCACTGCTAGTATTGCCACAGTTATGTCGCTTGCTATCCGAAATCCAAACACTGAGAGGGATTGGTCTTCTATGAAAATGAGGGCGTAGTAAAGCCAGCCGTTGCCCGCAATGATGACAATGGCTCCAATGAGGCACATGATCACCACGGACCAGTACATGCTGGCCACTAGCTGGTACTGTTTCCCCTTCACTTGGTTCAGGTGGCCGTGGTACTTGTGCAGAAAGTAAGTGGCAGCCAGGGCAAAGACTATGTTTATGAGGATGTGTATGACGGCCAGCATGGGTACAGTTAGTCCACCGTTACGAACCCTCCCCTCGCGAAATGCAAACCCTCTCGCCTCCTGAGTGTACTCCACGTCCTGCAACTCCAGGTTGTCCGAGTTTTGGGCATAGAGCTGCAACTGTAGGGATTACAATAAACAACATTGCAACAACTGTGTATTTTTGCTATTTACGATTGCGCATGCGCTGCACTGCAGAGACTGTATACGTGTGTGTGTACACGTGCAGTGTGCAGCTATACAAATCGCACGGCGCGGCGCTGCGGCGACTGCGGCGACTGCGGCTGTAGATTTTCTACGACCTTCCCGAGGTTGTTGTTCAGACCGGCTTACCCAGGGCAAAATGTCCTCCCAAGCATCCCGCATCACTCTTTCGTCCGGTATACACGGCAGGTAGGGGATAGTTAACTGGAACTCAACCGCCTCGTCCCTCGTCGCACCGACGCTCGCGTTGGCGTCGTCGTCGTCGTCGTCGTCGTCGGTAGCGTTCTGCTCCTCTAGCCCCAGGTCATCGTTGCTAAACACGCTCGTGTCGAAGTTGTTGAAAGTGGCGGCTGCGTGCGCGGCGAAGTTTGTGTTCTGCAGCAGCTCCAGGTCTTCTCGCTGGATGATGTACGAAACGATGGTCTTGCTCCACTGGTGCGTCCAGCTCCAAGGCTGCGGTATCCCACTGCAATTGTAGACAGAGTGTTCGCACACTTCCATCATTGTCGGCGGAGAAGTAACCGGTCTCCCGCGAAACGGATACTCTTCGCTTTTGCAGGCGATATTAGGGACCGACTCGACGTTGAGGGTCATCTGTACGTCAAAGAGGAACGGAGGGCTACCCTCGGTAGGGAAGAACGCTTTGCGAAGCGTGTACAATACGCTCTCCTGTCTAAAAGCCGTGTTGACTCTTTGGAAAAAGAAGGAGCATGTTACGAGGGAATCTTCGTCGCCGCATGTCCCGAGGCTGACCTGAGCCGTGCCCAGGGAAAACAGACACAGCAGCAGTGTGCAGCTGATAACTGCAGCCTTCAACATTTTCCTCTGACCCACTTGAAAACAATTCAACGTTTCTGGTTTTGCTCCCTAGGTTGGCTTGCAGGATTTTTGCCAACGTTCTTGCAGTCGGCTTTTATACGATCACATTTTGGGTGGTGAGCCCCGCCCCCCAATGAATCCACACAACATTTACTATAATTATAAAACATGCAGGAAACGCAGGAAACGCAGGAACATGATAATACACAGTCAAATAGGCGCAATGTTGTCATACTGAATGCAGCATTAGCATGGGAATAAGTTGCAGTACAAAGGCAATACTCACAAGGTTTTTGTACTAGCTATACAGCCTCTGTAGTAACAATAATTATCATGCTCTGTAATTTTGTGTACCCGCCCTCATGTGTTCTTGGACTTCCGGAAATAATGCCCTGAGTGAAGCTCGGAACTTTCTTTGTCTTTGATCCGCTTCCAGTTCAAATATAATTCAGCACATAAATTATATATTATTATATAAAATCATGTCAGTGACAGAATTGCATTAAAATCGTCACACAATCATCAACTTGGAACCAGTGAAGTCAGTTTTTCTTTCAGAGAGCCCAGTTCCTTGTCCAGCTCGGCTGCGTGTGTGACATTGTGAGATGGGAGATGGTGAAGGGAGGGAGGGTGAGAGGGTGGGCTCACCTGCCAGCTCATAATCCTCCACCTCCTCGTTCACGGCTTCCTCGATCTGTGTCTCCAACTCCTGGATCTTTCTCCTAACTTCCTCCACCTCTGCCTGCCTCCTCTTCTCCCCCTCCCCACCCTCCCCCTCCTCCTCCTCCTCACGGCCAACACCTGGTGTCCTCTCCTGGAGGCCAGGCACACACCACTCTTTCCTCCCTCACTTACAAAATTCCAATAATTCCACATGTGCACACACACACACACACACAATGCGCTAACACTATAAGACCAACTCTACCCACTGATGCAGCTACCAAAATTGCATTCTGGATTGACTGTGAATAATCTGTACACAGGGTTAACAAGTTTCTCACTACAACCGATCTCAACACATCAGACCAACAACACACAGTAGGGCTAAACACAGTATACAGTGGAACCTCCAAACAAGGGACACTATGGGACCAACTATTTTATCCCTTGTAGAGAGGTGGTCCCTATCTCGGAGGTCAAATAAGACACTAAGTATTAGCATTGGGTGTAAACAAGTGTCCTTTGTAGAGAGGTCGTCCTTATCTCGGAGGGTCCCTTATCGGAGGTTCCACTGTAGTATACTATTACCTCAGGTGGTTTCTGGACGTCAGGTACACCTCCCATGTTACCACCACCTGCAGGGGCTGTTCAATAGAATAGTCATACAATACCCAAAGCTGAGCACGCATAGAATTACCTAATCTTATTTACTGAGCTGCTGTGTTAACACAAGCACCAGTCTATGTTAGCTAGACGTATATATGATGTAAGGGCCACCAACAGTCAGTCATTTTAGCTTACTCCAGGCAGCCATGCTGCACATGTGAATTACAACTTATGTCTCTCCAAATGCAGTCAGCCCATATTGTGTTTCAGCACGAAGCCTTAAAGTATGCAAACCTGAACACAGATTGGCATAAGAATATATATTATATACCTGTGTCAACAGTTAGCTTCTCTCCTTCTTCTTCTCCTCCCTCCTCTTCTTCCTCTGGCTGTGTGTCCGCATGAGGAGTAAAGTCGGCAAGGTCCAGATCATGCTTGGCACACAGTCCCTCTGCCAGCAACTACAAAACACACACACACACACACACTCTCCTCTCTCTTCTCCATCTCCCTCCCTGCCTATTCATCATTGACACATTCCTGTTTGTGTGTCTGTGTTGGGTGTGGTTGCAACTCAGTGCAGCTCAATACAAGAAGAATATACTGAAACCAACCCTAAATCTGAGGCATTTATCTATTGCAGTATGTAGAGGTCAATGGTGCATAACAAATCATCAGCATGATCACACAAAACATCTGTAGGCGCCATTTGGTCTACAAATTAATTCATGACTAGAACAAATGTAACATTATTCTGGCAAGCGAACACTACATTATTTATAATATGTCAACCCTGTTTTGATCACTTAATGGCTTTTCCTTTTCATAACAGAGGAATTTCACTACTACGCACTTTTATATATAAGTGTCTATGGTGCATAAAATTTTCAAAGAACACTGTAAAATTCTCCAATTTTCATAATAATTGTAAAATAATCACTTTCACATGCATCAACAGGCATACTTGTTGTCAGTAATGAACACATGATCAGTTAAGATTGGTATTCAGTTACCTGATACAGCTGAAGCCAGCAAACCAAAACCTTCTCCAGTGGTGGGGAGGAAGAGCCCGGAATGCTGCATTACATCATAACGACATCATCCAAAAAACAGGCCTCCATGGCGACTGACCGTGTAACACAACCCACCTTGTTTTTGTGGCTTGCAGCCTTGAAAGAGAGGAAGTTAGCCGGCGAAGGTGCTGTAAATCTGACAAACACAACACAAGACTCTCAGGAACAGAGAATCCAGACAATGCTACAAGGAAGTCTAAACTATGTGCCACATCAAGAGCGGTATACGAAGCATTTGCTGCATTTGCACTGGTGGTATATATAAGTGGACTGGTGTTGTTTAGAAATTGTTAGTATTCCCATTTGCAAGCAAAATGTTTAAAAAGCAGAAAAGGTATGTATATAAGTTGTAGGAACGACATTATTTACTTAAACAACTGTACTGTATGGGGGGAGATATAACAGAATTGAAGTTGCCAAAACTACCGACCATTAAAATTGCAAAACATGCAACAAACAATCATGACAAAATCTCTTCCCAGCCTCCCTCCCTCCCCTCCACAAACCTTCTTGCCTCTCCAGCTGATCCAAGTGCACTCTCTCACCGGCCAACTCACTGCTGAGTCCTGCCAGCCTCTTGTTAACATCTCCCACCTCCCCTTCCTTCTCCGCCAGCTGAATATACGCAAACACAAACAGCAGTAGACATGGATGAATAAAGGGCATTAATGGTGACCTAACACAGGAGTGAAGTGAATTACCCTCTCATGGGTATATACGTTTTGGACAAGTGAGAAGTCTTGCCTGTACTATATACCTTCAATGTCTGTAATACCTAATCGATTTCAAACTCCAGTATTTACAAGCTTACTACGCTGTTTACAACATGTGATTAAGTATTAAACCAGTCCAGGATACACAAGCGTACTACAGGTGTATATAGTAACTATGATATACGTATGTGCAGTTGTTGCGCACTGACATCCTGTGATTAATGCAGCAAATAAACTGCTGCCAAATACTGCACAAACCAGGAAAGAATTAAACAGACATGTTTGTTCACTCACCGCTACTGATAGTGCACTTTCATACATAGTTAATAAGACGACCCGCAATGAATTAAATATCCCTAACAGCTGAGCTCCTCTCAATGATGTGGAAGACTGACCTGTGTTTTCTGAGGCTCCAGTTCAGTCTTCAACTGTTTCAGTTCACTCGACAACCTTCCAGCCTCTTTGTACCGACGAGCTGCAGGTGTGCACTAATTAGAATCCCAGTATCTCATGAGAGACGACGAGAGAAAGGGGGACAATAGGAGGAGGAGAAGGGAGACGGAGTGGATATATACCAGTAACGGCAGTCTTCTTGGCCTCCTCTAGTCGAGGAATTCTCTCCTCGGCCGCCGAAATCTGTCGTCTCAGCTGGGCGACTGTTCCCTGGAGTGCCTCTATCTCACTCGCCACCTTCTTTACCTCTCCCTCCTTCTCTCCCACAGCCTCACGACACCTGTATATAACAAGAACCAAGAAACGAGGAATGAAAAACGCACGGACGAACGAGCACAATTTGATGAGGAAACGCGACGAGCAAATGAGGGCAAACGAAAAATGCAAACGTGTATACTTCTCGAAAGCCTTAGTGAGATATATTATGAGGGAGAGAGAATGATAATAGCTGTTTGTCAAACCCTCCTCCACAAATTCTTTCGTGGGAGGGCACTTAAACCCTAGAATTCACAATTAGCTTTGTTTAACCCAGACGTTTACACAACTAGGATGGATGACCAGGCAGTCCCGTTTACTTTCCGCATCAAAGAGTGCCCACATCAAAACTGGTAAAAGTATCTGTCAACATTTCTTGGAATAGAGCCAGCACCGACATTAGCTAGAGTAGCACTGTGGTGGTAGGGCTTCAATTCCACTGCATGACTTCTTTAATTAGGTATTCTGTTTTTTTTAAAAGGCATGCATGAATCTCAGCAGCACACACACATACAACACAATTACCGTTTGCATGCCACAACTAACACAGCATATAATTACGTGGTAGAACCACACACAGCGAAGTTACGTGAGTATGCAAACTTGCATAGCAGTAAACTGCTCCGATTTCTCTTAGGAATGTTGCCACACACCCACCCCCTCTCTCATTACTAATGAGCTGAAAATTGCCTTATAATGAGCTAATTTTCGCAGTGCGGTCACTTTCAGTTTCAAAGATAGGTCTCAACGTGTGGACATTATGCTCTGCACAAATGTATTGCAGGATCAATACATACTAAACTGTTTGAGAATGAACATAGCGCTGTAAGAGCGTACAGTGGAACCCCTCTAATCCAGCACTAATGGGGCAGAAGGTGTCCATATTAGTGAGGTGTCCTGAGCATTATACAGTGGAACCCCTCTAATCCAGCACTAATGGGGCAGAAGGTGTCCACATCATAAACCGTGCAATAAGGGCTATATAAATTGTACCACCCTATAGAGTAATTTAAAAGCAATTATGTACTGACACCCCATTGGTTGTTAGAGCGGTGTCTATAATTTCAGGCGTGTCCTTAGAAACAGGTTACACTGCTATGTACATTATAATTATCTGTGAGAGGTTACTTGGTGAGTTGTGCAGAAGGGGAGAGGAGGGAAGCAGTGTTCATGTCGGTGAGGTCGCCAGCCCGACCCAGACACTGTGCTAGGGTGTGCGTCCGGCGCTCCGACTCCTCCCACTTCATCTCCACTCTACCCAGTAGCCCAGCAATGCTGCATGATATAAAGACATTGCAAGTGGTTTTATACCAAAATTAACACTCTAAAATGCCGTCGATGAATCGATTTTACTTTGTACTGTACAGTATTAGTGAAAGTTTTGCAACAGATATAATGCATCAAAGTAAAATTAAAACATTCCACAGAATCTTTCAATGTGCCTTTTACTGTTGTAATTCTGCTTCTCGTCATGAGGGAAAGGGCGTGAAAGAACGAACAAAGGCTACACTCACGCTTGCTCACGTAAACTTTACGGGGGTTTAAAGCCTATGAGGCGTTTTTGACATGTGGAACTCACGTAACTTCCATGGCAATTTCTATCCCATCAGAGTATTGACATTCTGTGTAGTGACTATGGTGTGTCACACACATGTACGTATCTTTCCACATTACCTCTCTCTGTGGGCCTTTTGCTGCTGCTGAGCTTCCTCGTACTCTTGTCTGACTTCCTCCATACCTTCCTGAAGTAATACACGCACACACACACAGCACACACACACATGCACTCACTCACAGCCCATACTAAGGAGACGTTTAAGATGGGTTCCCATTGATATTGACACAAGCTCTTGCATGTACATGGCATATATTGACTAAAAAGTCAGGTTCTCTCCAGCTATATAGGCGCTTGGAATGTGACAGAGTGGTACGCTAGTACCTTTTCTCAACCTGAACTGCATTATAACATCGCCTCACTCGCACTGGGTTTTGCATACACATAGTGCACCTAATATGAACTGCATTACAACATCACTTTATAGATAATTCATTGCTTTACACATACACTGCACCTGTTGAGCCAGAAGCTCCAGTTCACGTCGTGCGATCCCGTCTCTCTCCTCCTGGAGACCTGCGTCCTCAGAGTCCAGCTCGAGATGCACCGCCTGTATCCTGGCCTCCTCCCCCGCGATGGCGGCCCCCAGTCGAGCCTCCTCGCCCCGCAGCTCTGCCAGCTTCTTCTCCAGCTCCTCTATCTCACTCTGCCGACACACGCACACACACATACAGAATGACAGACGGGTGTATACATAAGATATGAGGTGTTCAATGGACACACGGAAAATGCAGTAGAGATTAGAATATGAGGGTTGTATATCAATACGAAACTCATTTACATACATACGTGGACGGTCTCCAGTTCTCCTTGCAGCGAGGTCTTTTTAGATATGAACTTCTCTGCTCTGCTGGCTATCTCTTCCTGCAGGTCACATGACATGTCACATGACACAGGAATCGGAATTTATATTTGCAGGGGCATACTCGCAATGATATTATTCTTGCTGCGCATGTATTTAGCCATACATTTTCTGCTCTCCAACGACAACTATGTATTGGAGGCCAGGTCTCTAGAGTTAGGTCACAATGAGACTCCATCAGGTATATACAACGACTAATATTGCTATGTAGCCACAACACCATAGCTGAATGGAGTACAAGTGTACCTGTAACTGTTGTTCTCTTTTGTGAAGGTGCTCTTTATCTAGAGCAATGTGGCTGGGGGGAAAGAGAGGGGGTGGTGGTGAAATGAAACATGGTGAGTCACCAGCCAGTGTGTCTTAGTCTCTCACCCTCTTTCCCTTTCAATCTTGTCCTCCAGTGCTTTCAGTTTCATCTTCTGTCTGCACAGAGACAACCTCACTAACATACACACACACACAACATGGTGCAACCTCTAAACATTGAGGTACGTAGGAGGGCACTTTAATGTTTGTTAAGACTTAGTTCGGGGAGCAGAACTTGTCCCGCCCTAAGAGGTGGGTAACCTACTTGGTTTGGTAAGCTGTGATGTTCTCCTCTGCACTCGCCAGAGCCTGGCTCTGCTGATCCTGAGTTGTGACGATCAAGATGAACACAGAGTGCAGTAGACAATAGAGAAAGCCAAGCAAAGTACATAGACAAGAAATGCAATGTGAACCAGAAGAGTCAAAAACTAATGGCAAATAAGAAGAAGAAAACTTCCTGTACAAACAGTTCCTTCCTCCCCTTAAAATAATTTAAATGCCTTTTTAAAACGTGAATGTACAGTACTTATTCAACAATTCCTGTTTATATGCATATTACAGGGATGTATAATATACGTACATACATGTACATATTTACCCTCGAGTGTGCCAGTTTGGTACGTATGTCGGACTGCATGGTCTCCTCTGTCTGTACCATATCACACACCTCCTTCAGCCAATCACACAACTATATAGTAGGAAGACAGAGAGAAGAAGAAGAGTACAACATCTCTTTGTATGATGACTGAGAGTAAGATCAAAGGAATTCCAGCTAGTCCAAACAACGTACACCGTAGTGAGAGCTTCCTGCTGAGTTTACGGGTAGTTGTATGATGACTGAGAGTAAGATCAAAGGAATTCCAGCTAGTCCAAACAACGTATATACACGCGTAGTGAGAGCTTCCTGCTGAGTTTACGGGTAGTTATACCATAAAGATGAAAATGGGTATATGGTAGTTATACGATAGTAGGAAATTGGCAGCGTGCTATGCAATTAGGGGGCTTTTACACTCTTTGTGTGCTGCTGTTTCTTTACCAGAAGGGAGTGTTTTCAGGCTGGAATGGCCAGAAACTGCTCTAGTATATACGCGGTCTGAAAACTAGCTAAAAACTGCTTCCCGACGCGTAGGCTCCCGTAGACTGGAACAGTATGTGACTTTCAGCTTTCTTGCTACTGTAACAGGCTGCATTCGAGAGCGCTGGGTATAGCGGGAGAGAAAGCGAGCCAGAGCGGCAGCTACAAAACTCGTGTGGAGTCCAGCAGCGAAAAAGTGACCGTATACCTGTAACGTTGAACTCTCGAAAAAATGACCATGGCTTCTGCACAACCGCCCAGCTTGACCAAACTAAAGCGCTTATTGCAGCTGTCTCTCCGCTCCCGATCGATCGCTAGCTCTCTAGCTCTCCGTACACTCGAGAGTGCGCGTTAAAAAGAGGGCGTTTGAAAGCTTTTGCGCAATCTCATTGGTCAGAGCCTTACCGGGGATGTCATCATACAAACACGTTATACGATGGCTTTGCTTGTGGTTTACTGGTTGTACACTCGTGGCTTCAGTTTTGATAGACCACTCGGGCTACGCCCTCGTGCCCTATCAAAACTCGCCACTCGTGTAAAACCAGTAAACCACGCGCCGCCATCGTATAACCTATACATGTACAACATACACACTGCAGAAGTTGTGTTATTTTTTACGATAAATGTTTTGAATGAGGAGAGAAGAAGCGGGAGAAAGAAGGAGGGGCTAAGATCAGGTGCGAAGAGTTAACTATTGTATATAGCAAGCTTCAAAATTCTGGAAGAAACTATAGACTGTACAAATATTGTTTCAGTCATTTCGCACAGCATGCTATTGCACAGAGAGAAGGCTTGTGGCTTAGCAATGAACAAAGCCATGACCCCCCACCCCAAAAATGGTCGTGAAGACTGACCCACCAGAGGGTGAGAGGTGGAGGATATGCTCCAACTGGAATCCCGACTCACTGTCTCCAGTTGACCCTGTAACTCCTCAGCTACAGTGCGAGATATGTAGTGAGAGACAAAGAGAGGATTCACAACCACACAGTACGTGAAGCATGGAAAACAGGGCCTCCATTCAGCAGCAGACCACCTCAGATTGTATGGAAACGTATGTGTATCTATGTACATATGTACCTAGTTCATAGTCCTCTTCTGACAGGGCTTTTGTCTCCCTAGCTCTCAGCTCCTTCATCTTCTGCCGGTTCTGAACATCACACAACACAGCATACAGATAGGTAACACCATTGTGTTATGCTTCAAAATACATCATATATTATTATTATAGTATGGAAAATTCAGAGAAAACAGTGCAAAACTTTTGGTCTCACAAAAAAATAATGCTCCTGCCCACAAAATTTTATTGCCTGCCAAAATTGTGAGTGTCTTGCTATAACAGTGAAAGAGACATTACTTACATGTCTTTGCTGTTTGGCTGCAGAGATGTGTCGGTCTAGTAATGACTGCTTCTCTCTGTGCAGATCTGCCAGCTCTAACCTAAACATACAAGAATATATCACGCACATAAACTGATAGAGCTGTGCACACTAGAGTATTGTGTACCTGATTCTGGCCAGGTTGCTCTCCGAGCTCTGAATAAGTAGGGCCAACTGATCAGAAGAACTCAATTCCACGCTGTAGTTCCCACTCTTGACCTCTCCCGTCTTCATCTCTCCCACCTCCACACCTTTCTCACCCTGGTCACCAGACTCACTCCCTCCACCAGCAAACACCTCTGCAAGCAGCTGCTCGTCCTGAAACACCACACTCTCTCCTTCTCCCTCTCCACCTCCTCCCTTTCCACCTCCTCCCTCCATAGACTCTAGTTCACTCGTATCCACAAGCAGCTCACTCCGCTCTTCAGTGGACACATTGCCATCTCTCGCATCCTCTCCTTCCCTTGCCTCTTCTCTTTTCACCTTCACCTCCTCAACAGTGCCCTCCTTCCCACCATCGCTAGCTGCACTCTCATTCAATCCAGGGACAGAAGACCCATTCACAATGACAGAGGGAGTAATGGGAAGAGAAGAGTTGGGTAAAGATGAGCTGGTGTCAACTGATGAAGCCTGGCTGGTCAGGGAGAGAGTGTCTGGTTCTTTCTGCCCCTCCTCGCCCCCTACCAGCCTAGCTCCACTGCTGGACCTGGTAAGACTGCTGCTGTTAGTGCCTTCGTTGGTTGTATCTACCTCCTGCCCTGGTCTGGGGAAATATACAGACAAGGACATTCTCCAGATCATCCCTTTCTCTCACATGTATATACACACAAAAAGGGAACATTTCCAGGCAGGGCCAGAAGTGTAAATGAGCTGGACAAACTTGTGGTAGGTATCATGCACTCTGACAAGACTGGTTCCACTCACCTTACGACCTTTCGCTTTTTCCTCTTCTTGCCCGCAGTGGGCTGCTGTTTTCCCACAGACGCCTTCCCTCCACCTCCTCCTCCTCCCCTGCCAGCAGGGGTGGAGACGAGAGGAGGGCTAATAGGACCAGGGACAGGGGACAGGACGCCGGAGCTGTTACGAAACACAGGTTGGGGTGAGTCTGTTGGTCTGGAGTAAACTGGAGTCTTCTCAGAGTGAGTCACCCCAGAAACCGGCAGATCGGGTTGGTTACTTAGAGCTTCTCGTGTTTTCGAGGAAGAGTCGATTTCTTCGTTTCTCAGAGACAAATCGATACCTTCTGGAGAATGTTTGGTCTCCTCTTTCCCTCCTCCTTCTCCTACATGGTCAGTGTCGGATGAGTTTATGAATGAAAACCCAGACTGTTGACTGGGTTCGTCTGCAGCAGGTTTGGGAGATATGAAACCAAATGCAGACTTTTCTTCTCCTCTCTCTCCCTCCCCGAGTGTCTCCCCGAGTGTCTCCTTGTCTGGTGGGTCACTAGCCACACTGTCTGTGTAAGTATAGAGATCATCATCACACCAGATTTCCACCACAGAACGAACAGACTTGTGTACAATGCATACATGCATAATGAATGCTAGTGTGGCCACAGACACAAGTTATGCTACATACATACAATATGCATGGGGTGACAAAGACTATTACGTAAAAGTGTCAACTGTACTGCATTATACAACCTGGGACAACACACGTAATGCAAGGTGACACAGCAAACCCTTATTACGAGGGCAGACAATGCATAAACGTCATGTAACGTATTGTTGTAGCTATACAAGACAGTCACATGTAATAGACATCTTGTAGTGAAGAACAACTTTACAAGCCCAACGTGTACATGGAACTGACAAGCTAACATACGTATATAGCTACATACCTGATATGAAACCAAAAGCAGACGTTCCGTCTCCGCCTGCTTTCGTTCCATCCTGTCCTGCGTGACAAACAATCCCATCCTCCCTCACTTCTCTCTCCGCACACAAAGAGAAACACACAGTCTGTATGATATTATAATATACCTGTGGACAAATATGGAGAATCTTGCCCTTCCCTCTTCCTGACACTGGAGCTGAGGACCATTCCCCCGAATATGGAGGTTGGTTCTCTCACCACGGTGGGAGAGGCATCCTCTACGTCTGTAGATGACGTCAGCTAGTTCATGTAAAGCTTGAGGTGCTCACCAAGGCCAAAATGCTAGTATTACTCTAATAAATGCTCACCTCCGGCGGTTCTGCACGGACCTGTTGAGGGGAAGGCTGTTCTATGGGTGTATGAGACGCTTCGTGCGTCCCCACCGCAGCTGGAGCTTTCTTTTTCTTCCTGAAAAATGACATCGACTTCGCAAGAGACGAGAATCGGGGGCCGACCACGCCCACTAATTCGAGCATGCGCAATTTGTTCGGCGACGCGACGTACGTGTGTAAACGTACGCGTGTCCCGGCAATAAAACTCGACCGCAAACCGCATTTCTCTCATTCGACAAGCTGAAGTAACCGTTACTGCTTCGCTGCTTGTCTGTTCAGCCCATTCCTTCTCTTTCCCCCCAGAAAACGCCAGATTCTACTCCGCCAAACGATCCAAGATGCGTGAGGTGATCTCCGTTCACGTTGGACAGGCCGGGTGTCAAATCGGCAACGCCTGCTGGGAGCTCTACTGTCTAGAGCACGGCATTCAGCCAGACGGCCTGATGCCCTCGGACGCGACCATCGGCGCAAGTGACGACTCCTTCAACACCTTCTTCTGCGAGACGGGCGCAGGAAAACACGTCCCTCGCGCCGTGTTCGTGGACCTAGAGCCGTCCGTGATTGACGAGGTTCGTACGGGCACCTACCGCCAGCTGTTCCACCCCGAGCAACTCATCACGGGTAAGGAAGACGCCGCCAACAACTACGCCCGCGGCCACTACACGGTCGGGAAGGAGCTGGTGGACCAGGTGGTGGACCGCGTCAGGAAGCTGGCCGACCAGTGCACCGGGCTCCAGGGATTCCTGGTGTTCCGATCGTTCGGCGGAGGAACCGGGTCCGGATTCGCGTCTCTGCTGATGGAGCGACTCTCCGTGGACTACGGGAAGAAGTCGAAGCTGGAATTCTCCGTGTACCCTGCCCCGCAGATCGCCACTGCGGTGGTGGAGCCGTACAACTCCATCCTGACAACCCACACCACTCTGGAGCACTCGGACTGTGCCTTCATGGTGGACAATGAGGCCATCTACGACATCTGCCGCAGGAACCTCGACATCGAGAGGCCCAGCTACACCAACCTGAATCGATTGATTGGCCAAATCGTCTCTTCCATCACGGCCTCCCTCCGTTTTGATGGAGCTCTGAATGTGGATCTAACCGAGTTCCAGACCAACCTGGTGCCTTACCCTCGCATCCACTTCCCCCTCGTCACCTACTCCCCCATCATTTCAGCAGAGAAGGCATACCACGAGCAATTGACGGTTTCAGACATCACCAATTCCTGCTTTGAGCCGGCAAACCAGATGGTAAAGTGCGACCCTCGCCACGGCAAGTACATGGCTTGCTGTCTCCTGTACCGCGGAGACGTGGTCCCCAAGGACGTGAACGCCGCCATCAGCAACATCAAAACCAAGCGCACCATCCAGTTCGTGGACTGGTGTCCCACTGGATTCAAAGTTGGCATCAACTACCAACGTCCAACTGTTGTTCCCGGAGGAGACTTGGCCAAGGTCCAACGCTGTGTTTGCATGTTGTCCAACACCACAGCCATCGCCGAGGCCTGGGCTCGTCTCGATCACAAGTTCGACCTCATGTACGCCAAGCGTGCCTTCGTCCACTGGTACGTGGGGGAGGGTATGGAGGAGGGAGAGTTCTCCGAGGCTCGCGAGGATCTGGCTGCCCTCGAGAAAGACTACGAGGAGGTCGGGATGGACTCCAACGAGGGCGACGAACAAGGAGAGGAGTACTGAACACTCCCACATTTCCCTGGACACGAACAGAGTGTAGATTTAGTTTAGAGAGCAGTGGGGTTTGATTCATTAACTGTTCCTTTCATCATTCAAGTTTTGATTCAATTTACGGGTTATTGCGCACGTGCAGTGGGTGTATATGTATATAATGGAGCTCGTGTCCGGACCCTGCATGCCCTTAGGGAGGAAAGGGTCTTTGTGACGGTCTTTTGTTTGCGTTTGTTGAGGAATAAATTCTGTGCACATTATAGCTCTTATGTGGTTGCACGCTTTACGTTATGTTAGCAATTTCATTGGCTTACCGAAAACTAAGACTTCTGAATCAGCACAACCAAGAAATCGCAACACCACCATCTCTTAAGGGCTGTGCTAGCTGGGTGTGCCCTTACAAAGCCAATTTCCTTTGTATTAACACACTTCCCTTTGTGGTGTGTTTGTGTAGCATGTGTCAGCCCACAGAGGGACTACAAAATACTCTACTACTGGGTGTACTGAATAACCAACACAATCCTACAGTATAATAGACAAAAACAAAATTTCAATGCACCTGTCAGTGTCAGTGATTCTAAATGTGGGAAAGAAAGGCATTCATGAAAAATACATTAGCGTTTAAACGTAAGTTGTGTGAAAATGTGATTCCAAAACTACTGAGTTCACTCCTTAAATTTTAGTTAGTACTCCTCTCCCTCTCCTTCTTCGTCGCCCTCGTTGGAGTCCATCCCGACCTCCTCGTAGTCTTTCTCGAGGGCAGCCAGATCCTCGCGAGCCTCGGAGAACTCTCCCTCCTCCATACCCTCCCCCACGTACCAGTGGACGAAGGCACGCTTGGCGTACATGAGGTCGAACTTGTGATCGAGACGAGCCCAGGCTTCAGCGATGGCTGTGGTGTTGGACAACATGCAAACTGAGCGCTGGACCTTAGCAAGGTCTCCTCCGGGGACTGTTGTAGAAGCTTGGTAGTTGATGCCAACTTTGAATCCAGTGGGACACCAGTCCACGAACTGGATGGTGCGCTTGGTTTTGATGTTGCTGATGGCGGCGTTCACGTCCTTGGGGACCACGTCTCCGCGGTACAGGAGACAGCAAGCCATGTACTTGCCGTGGCGAGGGTCGCACTTTACCATCTGGTTAGCCGGCTCAAAGCAGGAATTGGTGATGTCTGAAACCGTCAACTGCTCGTGGTATGCCTTCTCTGCTGAAATGATGGGGGCATAGGTGACGAGGGGGAAGTGGATGCGAGGGTAAGGCACCAGGTTGGTCTGGAACTCGGTTAGATCCACATTCAGAGCTCCATCAAAACGGAGGGAGGCCGTGATGGAGGAGACAATCTGACTAATGAGTCGATTCAGGTTGGTGTAGCTGGGCCTCTCGATGTCGAGGTTCCTGCGGCAGATGTCGTAGATGGCCTCATTGTCCACCATGAAGGCACAGTCCGAGTGCTCCAGAGTGGTGTGGGTTGTCAGGATGGAGTTGTACGGCTCCACCACCGCAGTGGCGATCTGCGGGGCAGGGTACACGGAGAATTCCAGCTTCGACTTCTTCCCGTAGTCCACGGAGAGTCGCTCCATCAGCAGAGACGCGAATCCGGACCCGGTTCCTCCGCCGAACGATCGGAACACCAGGAATCCCTGGAGCCCGGTGCACTGGTCGGCCAGCTTCCTGACGCGGTCCACCACCTGGTCCACCAGCTCCTTCCCGACCGTGTAGTGGCCGCGGGCGTAGTTGTTGGCGGCGTCTTCCTTACCCGTGATGAGTTGCTCGGGGTGGAACAGCTGGCGGTAGGTGCCCGTACGAACCTCGTCAATCACGGACGGCTCTAGGTCCACGAACACGGCGCGAGGGACGTGTTTTCCTGCGCCCGTCTCGCAGAAGAAGGTGTTGAAGGAGTCGTCGCCTCCGCCGATGGTCTCGTCCGAGGGCATCAGGCCGTCTGGCTGAATGCCGTGCTCTAGACAGTAGAGCTCCCAGCAGGAGTTGCCGATTTGACACCCGGCCTGTCCAACATGGATAGAAAGTACCTCACGCATCTTTTTGATCGTCTGCTGTTCGAGAGTTTCACCCAAGAAGAAGACGAGGATCGGAAGTGCGAAATTCCCGCGTCGCGTGGTAGGTCACGTGAGTTTCAGCGCGAGACTCTTTGCGCATGCGTAAAGCTAAAACGCCGTGATTGCGTAATTAACACTACCCCGTAAAGCGTGCGCAGCATCCAGTATAATATAACATTATCGAGAAAAAGGCTCATGATTAAAAGCGAATGTTGAATGAGTATATTATATATCAACATGTATTGGTAGAGCTTAAATGTATCACCGTCCTTTCATTACTTATTAGCACACTCAGCAGGCACTGTTGATAGACTGCATGATCCTGCAAATCATGAAGAGAGAGAGAGAGAGAGAGAGAGAGAAATGAGTAAGAGAGGAGAGACAGGTATAGTCATTTCCAGCTCGAGTATGAGTGTGCATTAAAAGGACTCACTTGTCAGAAGGTATGCCAGCCTCACACAGGTTCACCAGTGCATACACATGGCGCAGGGCATAGTCCACCTGCGTATACACACGAAAGCATAAACTTTGATCAGAATCATTGTATGCATAATTGGATAAACTCCGCACTAGGAGCCTATTGAACACTTTCCGGGACCGAGATGCTTTCAACTGCTTGTTTTGCACCAGTTTTGCTTGGTGCTATATATAACATAATGCAACCTTGCTGTTCCCAAGAAGTGTTACTTGTTGCTTACTGCCTACAGCTCATACCCTTTTGTACTCTCTCTCTCTCTGTATGTGTATAACTTTCCAATGGGATATACTTTCTGCATTGTATCAACCTTTCCAATGGGGAAGCAGGCAGAGGAGAACCTGTCCACTACGGCCTCCAGACAGTCAAAGTCCACGGGGCTGGCGGGCTTGTGTAGGATGCCGTCCACTGCCTCCGGCTCGACGACACTCTCAACTATGGTCTTCACCGTCTGACGAACACTCTCCCTCAACTACAGCGTAGAGAGAAGAGTGAAGAATCGGAGAGATTCTGACAGAGTTTGGCACGTGAAATAATGGGACAGAAATTTTGAACTTCGAAATTAAATTTTCCCACCAATCAACTCTATCTTAGGGATAGGTAAGGAGGGAAAGGCAAGATAGTGAAAGGCAAGATAGTGAGTGGGAGGGACCAGCTACTACAGTATTAGGGAGTTCTTGGTGGTGGGTGTAGGAATGACTCCACAGATAAAAGCAAGGAATTTCATATACTGTGTACTTCTAGCCACCACCTGGCTATACCTGTAGCTCCTGCAGCAGCTTCTGCTCGTACTCTCTCTTTTCCCACTCGTTCGGAGTCTTGAATATCTTGTGGGTCAGAATAGAGATGGGGACGTCTCCCGATGGCACTGCGTCACTCCTCGCTTGTGGTACCGGCTGGGGCTGCCAGGAGGAAAAGAATAGAGAAGTAAAAGAGTGTGTGTGTGTGTGTGTGTGTGTGCTTTGTGCAGCAGGTGTGTTACGTACCTCTGAATAACCAGCTGGTCCTGAATTCTTTGAGCCCATGAACATCTCCAATTCCTCAGAGTCGAGGGACTGAAAAAATTTGCAAACAATTGCAAGTCACATGTGAATAGAGAGAGGGGGAGGGGTCTACGTACCAGGTCTCCGTACTGCTCCACGTGGCTTGTGGTCGTCTCCCTCTTGACTTTCTTGTACTGAGCCTTCAGAGTCTGCGTGGTGCCCAGCTACACCAACACCAAACAGAAAGGCAATAGGATGGGTGGAGCCATTCTAAACTTCGTTAAGAGGGGACAAGGGGGGCCACCTCACCCTGAACTAAACACCAACACCAAACAGAAAGGCAATAGGATGGGTGGAGCCATTCTAAACTTCGTTAAGAGGGGACAAGGGGGGAAAACTGCCACCTCACCCTGAACTAAACTCCCACCCAATTCCTACACATTATCCCAATGCAACGCAGTGTGGCACAGTCTTGCACACCATAATAGGGAAATTTCAGTGGCAAATACATAATGTGCAGATTGTTAGTACATACTGGCCTACTGTACAAGTAGTGCCCAGCATTTCCAAAGAAACAACACAATTTTTAAAAATTCTCCTCCCCAGAAAAGTCACCACTATGCAGTGTACTATATATTATGCCCTACATTGTCGACGTCCTCCATCCAGTTGACAGAGTAGCAGTCTCCCAGATAGGTCTCCAGGCTGTCGTCCATGTAGCAGGCATAGGACGACTCGTGGGGATTGGATGCCGTCGTAACATACACTGCCAGGTTTATGGGATAGAGGGAACGATGTATATATGGAGATGGAGGAGACGTACGTATCACTATCAGTATTGTACTGAATGGTGCACAAAGATTATAGCGGCCATTATCAGGAATTTAAAAAGTAACCTCGGGCTGTTGTGAAGGAAAAGCCCTAAGAGGTTGGTACGAGGCTGAATCTGGCGTCCAAGTAGCTAGGTGTGGTGATATTTACACATGCTCTAAAATAAGGGAAATGCACTTTGCCATACATTGATAAAGGGGTTTTTATGCCGAGCAACAAACACACTACAATGGCATTTACAAAACAAAGCCCATTAGAACTGGTTGTTGGTAGTGTTGTAAACTGAAACGGAGTAACAGAAAGTATAGCGTTAAGCAAGTAGTAAAGTTATTCAATTTACACATTCTCCAAGGGAATGGACTCTCAAGTTATTATAGCACGGTGGTGGACACGCCGAAAGTTCGTGACGGAGGTCAATCTCACCATTGATGTTGTCAGAGAGGAGTTTGTCAAACATGGAGCCAGACTCGCACGCCTCCACATACACCACCATCTGCTTGTACCTATTCTCCTGGTGCATCTTTGTGATGGCTTCGTTCCACTTCTTGGCCGAGAGCTGAATAGCAAAGATTTCGTGAGGGAGTGAGAGAGTGGTACTGGTGTGGGGCTTAAAATAGAATTGTGGGGAATTCGGAGTGTGCGTTTCTCACCATCTTGTCAGGGAAGGCAACGATGCCTGGAGCACCGTGGTCGGCAAAGTAGACAAAGACATAGTCATCTGGACCACTGAAAGAGAACAAGGGAGGGTGGGAGGGAGAAGAGAGAGAGGAGAGAGAGGAGAGGAGGAGAGGGAAAGGAGAGGGTGTGTGAGGGGGATGGATGGGGGAGTTGTTTGAGATATTTGGCCACAATAGAGGAAATCCTATTAAACCCCTGCTTGACGAGCATACCGTAATTAACTCCCGACCCCAGGGAGAAAAAATAAATTTTGGGAGAAAATCTTTGAGGATTTCTGGTCCCACTGTGTGTGCAATGGTTCCCTTCCGTAAAATCCCATGATAAACACTTTAGTCGGCAGCTTAAAAAGTAAAGACACAGAAATTTATCTCCCTTTCCTTGGGAAGTACCCCTGGATGCTTGTGCACACACAATTCTATATAAGGTTAGATGAAATCTGATTGGTCAATTGTGTGTTAACGTAGTCTAAAACGTATATACAGTACCTCTGGATGGTTTTGCCACTGCCAGTTCCATTCATATTCTCTCCAGTTAGAATCTTTAGAAAGTTCTCTGGAGTGACCGCCTGATTGTTTATCACCATAGGAGAATAATTTGATTGCATAATTATGACATATAAATTGTGAAACTATGTACGTAGGTAGTATTGTCACCTCCTTCGTATAGTCGTGAGGTACTCCGGGGTATACATTTGGGCCTTTCAGCTGGAGGACGAAAGAAGAGAGTTATGTACACTCAACACATTGGGAAAGAAAGAGAAAACCACGTGTGTGTTTGGGGTGTGCTATCGTGGTTTGATTTGGGACTCACGTGGTTTATGATCACTCCAGGGTTTGGGTTCCTGCGTGGAGATAACAGCTGCTGAACTACACGATACAGTACAACATCAAGGGAATACAACATGATTGTATCGTACACAACCCGAGAGAGAGAGTATCACACAACTGCTCGAGACTCAATACATATTGTGGGCAACTTCATGAGTGAGGAGTGAGTGAGTGAGTGAGTGAGTGAGTGAGTGAGTGAGTGAGTGAGTGAGTGAGTGAGTGAGTGAGTGAGTGAGTGAGTGAGTGAGTGAGTGAGCGAGCGAGCGAGTGAGTGAGTGAGTGAGTGAGTGAGTGAGTGAGTGAGTGAGTGAGTGAGTGAGTGAGTGAGTGAGTGAGTGAGTGAGTGAGTGAGTGAGTGAGTGAGTGAGTGAGGGAGTATAATAGCACGTGGTATTACATATGAATTTCTCAGGCTCTGTTGTGATCCAAGAGAGAGAGCCAAATTGATCGGCGATGATCGTCAATGATTCCCACTAATGCACAGAACTCTCACAGAGAAAAGATGATGCAATGCCAACCGTGCCCAACGTAAAGAACAAACGGCTGAGGGGGAGTTTTTGCATGTGTGTGTACGTAGTTGTCACGTGTTTTGATTGCGAATTTGAGTAAATTCCCTCTTGGGACTCTTATCATAGCTGACCAATCAGACCAATGATTGATCACAAGACACTCTCATCACGCATTATTTGAGAAGATTTTCTGGTTATTAGCAGGGGACTCACTCTTCGTTGTGGGCAATGTCGTCGTACATCATCACCACAATGTGGTCGTCAGGGACACCGTGAGCGTGCAGCACCTGGTAGGCATGGCAAATGTCCGCCTGGGGTGAAGGAAGGAGGAGGGGAGGAGGGGAGAGAAAGACGGAAAAGCACACGCACACACACACACACAAAAGAGGCGTGTAGCTATATAGACCAATCATCCCCGGGGGTTGTAGCCCGAGTAACCCGCTTGTTATAATTATTATACAAGTTTTTTACACACGCCCACCTGGTGTCTGTAGTTCATCCAGCTGTTGGAGCCGGCCACCAGCAGAGCCCAGATACTGCCAGCCTCTTCTTTCTCCGCCAGCATCCCGCGCAGCTCGGCGGAGGGCCCGGCGCGACACGAGCACGCCAGAGCCAGCAGAACCACACACAGAGCAGCCTTCATTGTGTGTTGTTACGTTTGGCGGAGCAGTGAGCTTGAAAGCAGAAAAGTAGGGAAGTGTAGGCAGGGAATTTTGTACAGACAGAGCCCAAGCAGCACATGACGTACATACAGATGGGAGTACCCGAATATGCGCATGCGCATTCGCTAACTAATTACAAGTTAGTTCATCTGGCGTGTGTGTGCGCATGCGCGAGCGACTGTGTGTGCAACTGTAAAGTCGCATAAAATTATTGACGGAGATAATGTCTGCTACAGATGACTAACAAAAAAAACTCAGTACATATAGTCGTTAAAAAAGTATCTGCTGCTAGTGAATGAAGGATTGAGAGAGCGAGAAAAAATAAGTTCCAAAAATTGCAGAATGACCATAAATTAGTATAAAATGCAGGAGTTGACAGACATAAACAGACAGACAAAAGGAACAACAGTACAACTAGCGTGTACGGTATACACGGTATACAGATACTTAAAAAACAGCTCCCATAGCAATGCATAGGAGTGGCGTTAGGAGTCGAGGGCACTGCTCATAGAATGCCTCTTGTCTCGTAGTCCGTTGCTACCATTCACAGTGACTGGTCCATTACTCATCCCTGGGTCTGGCGATTCCGACTTTTTCAGGTCAGACCTCTTGTACCCCTTTTCGTCGTACAGAGACATCTTCTTGTTGGGGAGGCTGGCCGTCATGTCGGCTCCCATCATTGAAGGGAGATCCCCGTAGCTCTTGGCCCCCGACGGGCCGATGGTGTGATTCATCTTCTTGGCGGCCATGTTGGAGGGTCGGGGGGTCACCGGAGGTTGACTGACTGGTTTGACTGTAATGATGAGGTTCTGACTGTTTGCTACCATCATGTCGGTGACCTGGTCCAGTGTCTTTCCGTATACCTCGATGGCGTTCACTTCAAGAATCTCGTCGTTGACCGCTAGGAGTCCCGTGCTCTCCGCCAGCCCACCGGGTACCAGTCGAGAGATAAATATCCCGGGAACCTTCTCCAGACCGTACTGAGTGACCCGCACGCTGGTACCGTCTCTGATGTAAAACCCGAGCGGACGGTCGGACGAATGTTTCAGGAGTTTCACCCGTCGGACGGTGTCGGGGAGATGGTCTGCGTCGACGATGGCACAGACTCGCCGGAAGTCCTGTGGGGCACTGATGGTAGTGGAGGCCGGTCTGGGAGCTGTACGTCGGTGTTTCCTTGCCCGGGCATTCATCTCTTCCAGCATTGACTCTGTGGAACGGTTGAGAACAGCATGTGCAATACCCCAAGGCCGAGAACGGCAAAAAACAACTTTTTTTCTTTTTCAAATTAACCCTTCCACCAACCGGCAAACTTAACGACTTCTCGAAATGCTGAAATAGGACACACTACTCACTACGGATTTGAAGACCAAGTAAAGAACAAGGTTTGAGCTGTACGTATGTTTCCAGCCTCCCCCCCCACCCACTTGTTTGCCTACAGCAACGTGATCTGATCACGATGTCGATTCGACCCAAAGAAGGCAGCTTTGTTCCATATTTGAATTACTCCACAGCCAAGCACTCCATCGACCAACCTCTACTATGCCACTAATAGTTAGCCTCCACCACACGTGCAGGAAATACAAACATGCACAGAAGCCTTCTATGTCTACATACGCACGTAGCACTATATAATACACTCTTTTCGAATCCTACTAATCTAATCCCCCATGTTACAGAGAGTGAATAGTTTGGACTTTTATTCGTTGCATGTACTGTGTAAATGAGCAGTTGTGCTATAATTAGAGCAATTCTGCACAACACGAAAGTGTTGTTTGATTGGTGTAATGGACACTAGAGCACAGAAGATGGCGGCGCACTACGTTGGTCTATTGACAAGCTCACTAGTTGGCACTAGCTTTCAGGCTCTCTACAAGAAAGCCACAGCAGTGGTCATCATGAAGACAAACACTGCAGGTGAACCAGATAGCGTGTAGACAAAGGTTTACCACTACCTACCTACTGAGGTATATATACATCCCTAGAAGAAGCCCACCCAAACGGTGATGTAACTTACTCTGAACAAATACCGAGGTTTGGTGAGCCAAGGGCTAGTGAATGCGGAGGCAGGAGTAAAGGAGATTGTGTGCAACACAACTACAGGCTACACGTGTATTAGGGCACACATACACTACGTTTGGCTGTAGTTGTTCCTACATGCACTGTACGTACGTACATACATCTTGTGTCTTATGCAGAGTCATTACATAACACAAGTGGTACATGGTCCAAGCCTCACCCGCTTCCCTGTAGATGAATAATCTGAGGAGGGGCATGGCGGTGGTGAACGCTCGCTGGAGATTCTCGTCGTTTGTAATTGGGAGGAGGTCCCCGTTCCTTGGGTCGGTATATGAGATGGTGAACGGCATGTCGGCAGGAAGGTGGTGGGACTCCTTCACCAGTGAGTGGAAGTCGTCCAGGGTCTTGCAGTTCCTTCTGTCCACACCGAACCTCCGGAACTCACACTCAAACTGAGAAGAAGGTAGGTAGAGGAGAGAGAGAGAGAGAGAAAGGAAGGGGTAGGAATGGGGGTAAGGAGGGAGTGGTTTATGACAAGATCATGACTTTCACACACTTATAGCGAATGTAACAACCTGTACATGAACCACTAAACAGTGCACATAATCACTAGTCTACATTATGTATCATACACTTATACTGCAGTGGAACCTATAAAGACCACACTGAAAATGAAATAAGATGAAATGAAGTATTAGCATGCGTCTTGTATGAAAAGATTTCTTGATATTTTCGGAGTGTCCATCATCAGAGGCATCAGTGGTGTCATACATTAGGTTGGAAAAGAGGCGCGGCCTTAGCTATGTCTACGCCCCTCCCCCTCCACCCACACACCAGCCCCCTCCTTGCCTCATGAGCCAGAACAGAGACTATCTCCTCCTCTCCTACCTGCATACCACCTACATACATGTACGACCATTCCAGGCCAGCTACACCGCCTGGAGATGCTCCTGGTAACAGTCACAGCGACCGAACCTGTCAGACATAACCACACTGTTTGCAGCTCGCCCACAGGGAGGAATGTGGTGATGATGAGCACCCAACTCTCTCTATGGCACTCGGTATTTTCCACAAACGATAAACATACGGTGCAGCTATCCCACTTCAGTGTGGGCTACTCAATCTGTCGTGCACTAATACTACAAAAGGTTGAAGCTCTACGTCGACAGCTCTCCGACCACAACACATACACACAGGGGCACCTGTAAAGGTAACACTGTATTCATCGGGCGACCTAATGCTACGTAGCTGCATACATCAGGGACGACAATACCAACGTTGGTGATTGATAAGGCCACTCACAATGATACTAGACCCTCCAACAGTCAATTCCTAGCTATAAACTTCCCTCGGTCCCTCCCACACGTGACCTATGTATACATGTCACAGCAGTATATCCACATACACAGTCTACACTTGGAGTATCCCATTACAGGCAATTAATCATCCCACCTCATTCTCTGCTTCATGTAGCACATAGTAAATGGTGCTACCACACACTGGTACTGGTACCACATCTCTCTGTCTTACAACATACATTTGTGACTATACACACGGCAATGCTGGGGAAACAGCGACCAGGATGTACATACATGATGTCACATCGTCGCAAATATAGAGTTTCGACAGCAAACTCTCGTACTGTCTCTACACTGGTGAAGGAATTTGACACTTCTCTCGCCGGAACAAGGCTGTGCACAAACAATCGACAGTAACATGCTCTGCATACCATCACACACATACTCTTATTACACACCAGTAATTTAAGGTAGGAAATTTTATGTCGACGCACACCCTAAAACTGCAATCACTCAAAACATACAATTACTCTGGACTGGAGTCTAGAATGACAGAATATGTAGCTCGCGAAGTGGTGCTAAGATTTTCACACATTCTTCTCGTTTCATGCTACTTACTACGTCTCAACATTTCACTTGATAGCCCAACTGTATCACTAGAAGACGTGTATGTACAATGCATGTATACATACCTACAACATTAGTTCAGGTGCTGTTTTAGGACAGGTGGAATCAAGTTAGAAGTGAAGTAATGTGGCAATAAGCATACCGTTCAAACTAGTGTGTCTTGAGACAACCAGTCTTTGCAACAGGCAAGCTCAACAAACAAGCAAGAAAAAGGAACACACACAATCATTACGAATGCAGTTTTACATTAGAGTGTGTTTGGAGCAAGACTTGTGTATATACGTACTTATCGGGTAGAGTAACAGGAGCGTTGGGAAAACAAGATGGGGCCACTACTCAATGACTACACATTACACATAATGCCCCAACAACACGACACCTCATACACATACAGTAGGGTCTATCTAGCCAGCGAGATAATTATCACTGGGCGTGTGCAGGAGTGTTTCACACCTGCTGTCTCGCTATTATTACAGGGTGCAACTAATATCGTATTCCAGGAATGCAACGTGAGGGCAATAACTAGTTCATAGTTCCCTCACCTCCTATAAGAACGACGTCATTTCCTGTTAGCTACAACATAGCTGATGGTGCTACAGCTAGACCCAGGCTGGGCCAATCGTCTGATGAGTTTCATGTTCACTGACATGTGAATTACCTCATTCCCAGGCCTTCCCTCCTCACGTACAGATGCCACAAACATACTAGCAGCTACAGAGCTACACAAGACACATATTATGTACATGTAGCTACTAAATCAGTTGTAGTGGTAAGGGCCGGCCAGTGAACAGTTTGCGTTTGCAACGAACATGTTTACACCAAACTGAGGTGTGTCTACTGTTATGATGGTTCTTGTATTGGATGACTGTTGCAACTCAGATTTTGCAAAGCTTTCTTACTGACCCAGAAACAACAAGCTGTACGTACGTATGTCGTACACATTGAGCAGTGTGTGTAGTGTACGGATTGCCTGAGTCTATATACAAAACAAGGTCTGTCAAGCGAGCGCAGAGTTCTCTGCTCATGAATAGCATATCCCGTGTTTTTCCACATCAGTTATCAACAACTTCAACACACACTGTACATACAGCTCTATGCATATTATACGCAAAACAGCCCCCCAATAACAACAAACTTCATACATACAAGTACCACCAGTGTCAGTGAAGCACACATGTTTGTAAGTAAGTTGTGTTACTTTTGACATAGAAGAGCTTGAAAACACAGTCAGTGTGATTTTCATACTCAACTGCCTATGCACACGTACACACCTGCACTTGAGTTACACACACTTAGCATGTTTTCGAGTGTCCGTAATGAGTTTACATATAGAGTGAGTGTGTGTGTAGGATGGCAGGCAGGTGGGCTGGCCCAGAGAGAAAGCAACATCACCAAGAAATACGTATAATGTGAGTGGCAGTCGAGAGTGTGTGTGTGTGTGTAGAGAAAGAAGAGCCTGTGCAGGCTGGTTGCGGGAGAGCTATTTGAGAGGGTTGAAAGAGATACTGACTAACACAACAGATGCAGACAGAGACAAGGTAGACAGAGCGCAAGCTCGTGTGTCGAGAGCAGCCAACACAAGTATGGAGAGAGTGGGGGGAGGGGAAGGGGGGGAGTGACACTACAGGACACATTGCTACTACACACATTACAGACGCCGTAAGCACTCAGTGTGTCCATGTAAATTAGAGAGTGCATTCACAACATACACAAAGTGTCATTCATCCGTAGAGGCGCTGTAATGTAAATGTACACTCACTCGATCACTGCTGCAAAGCGTACCTAGATTTGCTTCACTAGAGTCCCCAAAGAAAACAACCCACTGACCGGACAGAGTTCGATGCACTTATCCTTTTGGGCTGCTAACAGTGTAATAACACTGGATGCTATATACATACACTCGTCGGTTTTCTCCCCTCACAAATCAGGCGCACGGCGTTGCCTTGTTATAGGTGGGTTCGTGTGTGTGAGTTAGCGACAGCCGTCTGCCGGACTACGTCGAGAGTCGTCCACAGCTGGTTTTTAGGTAGTGTAACCATACTGGCCGCTCACGTTCGACTTGGGTTTGGAGAAATTGGTTTGGGGATTGGAGATTGTGAACCTCTACGAGGTTTGGGTCGTAGGTAGCTGCGCCGGTCGCGCCATGGCGTCTTCCACCGCGAACTGGTCTTTCGAGGTCGCTACTATCGCACCACCGGGACTCTGTCGACTTGTCCGAGAACTCTCGGGCCAAGAACACTACGTAGTATCACATCAGCGCCCGTATAAATGCTTCGAAAACACGCGTTGAGTAGGGCAGTGCAGACGACACACTACTGAGAACTGAAATCAGGTGAGTCGCTGTGTGTTCACTGACAATTAGTGGAGTGCACGTCGGCCATTTTCACGCATTCCAATCTCCCGCCGCGTAGTAAGTAAGACATTCGTGTAATTACACAAAATATTACTTCCGCTGATGTTGTGCGCATTGCGTTTAGAGTAGAGATCGAGAGGAGGAACTGCACACTATAGTGAGATGATACTACAAAACGCAAGGATAATACAATAGAAAATCCTAAGAGCGATACATGCGAAACAACCAGTTCTCACACCTCTCTCCTTCTAACACCCCACACACACACCCTCCGCGCGATATCGGTCTCTCCACACAACCCAACCACTTTGTATGCTGGCTACATAGTGGCAGTAGATCGAGTCAAGCTCAGTGGAGCTCAATTTAGTGCTAGAAAGTCACTATGCTTTTGTGTGCACATGCAACTGAGAACCGATTGAAAAATAAAAACACTATTCTTGGAGTTTCCAAAAGAAAATTTCGAGTCCTTAAGTAGCTTGCCAGTTTTGGTTCTGTGGATCAAAGAACTGTAGAGTAGCTCTTGGTGTCGTGTTCTCATCTGGAGTTCAGTATCAGCTCCGATAATCAAAAGTCGAGTTTGAACCTTCTTGCAATTTCTTTGTCGTTCACTTTCACAAGACGATGTTGATAGGTCTAGACCAAGGTCTCCACAAAGGTCACTGAGACTTTGAGGGCTGCTGCCTTGCAACATCGGTAATCCTCTGCAGCTCCACTGTCGTCATAAAGTGGAAACTGCTCCTCTCGAATGACTGCAGCCACCGCCGACTGTAGTAGTAGTAAAAACCACTGTCCAGCCATCACTCTTCCCCACTGAGACGACCCGTGATTTAACTGTCCCGTATCGAGGTAGAGTTAGAGGTACCCTCGAACCACGCATCCACTGGCTTGAAACGGTGCAAACTCGTATGAGTCTGATCTTTTGGAGCATTCTCTGAGTGAAGTCATCGTGCTCCAGCACTGCTCCGTACGATATTGAGGGATTTGCAAAGTGAGGCAGAGGTCGAGAGCCAGAAGGCAGAGTAGAGACATTGTGACTGGATCACGCGTACCTCAACTATGTACTTTGCACGGGGTTAAGATGATGGGAAGGCCGAGGCACGGACAGTAGTTTTCCAGAGTGTCATGAGCGAATATCGAGGCCACTGGAATAGAGTGTTGGGGAGAGCATCGATGG